GCTCCTTTCTCTGTTGAAATTCTAGTGAGATTTCTAATTTACTGCTCTATACAAAAGGAGCATTAATGGAACCGCCACCGGCATTTCACACACTTTGCTTCGAGCTACTTGTTCCCCACCCCCAGCTGAACTGCAGACTAGTTCAGGAGCAACTAGAGAAGACTGAAGTCCTGGATAACTGGAATTACTGCAGGAAAATTCATTCAGAAGCAGAAACATTTTTGAAGTCTGGTGTTTTGGGGCTCTCCTCCTCCCTGTGGCTAATGGGGCCTCCCTCAAATCCCAGCTGCAGGAACTGAACAAGTCCTGAGTAACTGTTTTCCAGCAGGAGACATTTACAACTCAGAGAGACCAAAGAGATGGAGGGTGGATACAAATATTGGCTAAAAAATTCTCCAAGGGCAGCTCCTGGGAAGACACACTGTACCTGGTCTCCTGGATCCACTGGTGGAAAGCATTGGCATGCTGAGCAAACTCCTGCCGCAGTTTGTCATTTTCTTCCTGCCTTCGCTGTTCCTTCTGCAGCTCCAATTCACGTTCCTGAGAAACAAACAAAAATAATTTCAAATTATTTTTTTAAAAAAATATGATTTTCAAATCATAATCTGATTGTCCTCATCCTGTAGTAAAACCCTCAAACTACAAGCTGTCCAGCTGTTCAGAGCAGCACAGGTCTGACGCTCCAAACAAGACTGAGGGCTCAAAGAGTCTCCTGGGGACCTAGACAAAATCAGCTGAGGTGACAACACAGATCACTCCTACTGAAGTTTTGAGAATTGGAATTGAACGAGCAGTTACTTCACTGTTGTCCTTTACGTGGACATTAAATATTTCATAGTTTGGAAGCGAGGGACAAGTGCTTTGTCTTTTGAAAGATCGCAAATGGAAGACCATGAAAACAAGCTAATGGATTATTTTTTTTCCTTTGCTCCCTAATTTTGAGATATTTCCATCTGTAGTGTAGCGACAAACTCTTGTACTGATTATCTGGGATGACAACTTCCAGGAAAGACTCCAAAGTTCATAAACTACAGAGACAGGGTCTCTCTCTCTCTGACTTGCCTTGATAATTTTCTGCAGATTCCTCCAGGTTTCTTCAAGAGCCTCCATAGTAAACCACGTGTATGGGTTGGAGGCCACACGGAAGCTCTTGATCTGGCGATCGAGCTCTGCCAGCTGGTTGAAGTCAGCCTGGGCAGAGCTGAGTGAGGAACGGAAAGCGTCGTGAGCTTCTCGCAGCGCTTTGATTTCTTCCAGCGAGTTACAGCGCACGGGATCTGTCAGGTCCTCCTCAGCATTCTCAAACCAACTGTTGAAGGCAGATGCCTTCTTAGCAAAAGTCAGGAACAGATCCTCAACCTTGACAAGAGAAAACAATCCAGCTGGTCAGTTATGCAGTAATGGAAATATTCCATATAAGTGGATGTGGAATTAACATTCATCAGTGATGGTTTGCATTTAATATTTATTTCTTGTAAACTTCTTGAATTCTTATGACAAGTCTCCAGGATCCCCATAATCATTACCCACAACTGAAAAAGCTGCAGCAGTTACAAGCATTGTATGTTTTTTTTTTTTTTCCAAGAGCACAATTAGATTTTTGTAGCCCCGTGGTTTGGCCACTTACCTTTCTGAAATGCTCCTGAGCCTCCAGGAGTTTCTTTTTCCTGGCAGCAGAATTAGCAAGCAGCTGATTCCAGCGTTTCATCAGGGACGCGTGCCGAGCCTCAATGGCCTTTGACTGGATGTGTTTGGCTGCCAGGAGCTGGTCTTTCAGCGCAGTGATGTTTGCAATTCCCTCCTGCTGGAAAGCCTGGAGTCCAGCGTCAAAAGTTTCCTGAAGCATTAAAAGAAGAACAAAACATTTTAGATTGTATTTTTATTTAACCATTCCAATATCCTGCATGTATTTCACACACAAATTCTGGATTCTTGTGTATTCCAGAAGAGTTCACCTGTTCTTTCCACCACTTATGGGGTGGCAGCAGCGTTAGCACTAACCTGTTTGGTGAGCAGCGTTTGTACAGAAGAGAGGTCACGTCCATAATCATCTGTCTTCAGACTGTTTTCCTTCTCACCTGGAAAATGAACCAAATTCAGTAAAAACGTCAATTTATCTCAAATGTCCCCTCTATTCCAAATAGGGTTACCCCAGAAGCATAAATCAGGGACAGCATTGCTGATCACTTCGGGTTTAGGTCTGCTTGTTACAACGAGTGAGAAGCTATTTGAGATCTTTGGAAACGAAGGAGAATTTCAGTTTGTTTGTGCCAGGGTACAGTGCCCCAGTACAGGACATACCTATCCACGACTCCACTACGTCTGCTTTCCAGTTGAACTGGAGGAAGGCAGAGTTCTCATCCAATTTGGCTTTCCTCTGAGCTGCTGCTTTCTCCAGATCTGACACCTTGCCTCTGAGGCCCTTCATCTTTGCAGTAATGTTCTCCTCATGGTGATTGTTCTACGTTACAGGAGGAAAAAAAAAAGCACACATATGATGATAAGGTCTTTCAAGGCATCCTGACAGATGCAAGGACTTCTACTGAAAGATTTTTCTTCTCAACGTACAAAAACCAGCTTTGAAAGTAGTTAATACCAGCAGCTTAATCAGCTGCAGAACATGAGTAAGAGCTCTGTTCAAAGGGATGACAAATCAGTCCTCAAAGAAGAGTAACTGACGTGAAAATGTCCTGGGCAGCCTTTGAAGGTTTGTTTTTCTTCACCAGTTTATGCTCACCTTTTTAATGAGATCCTCTCCGTTAGTACAAACATCGTTCACTCTGTCTTTGTGGACAGTAAAATCAGTCTCAAACGCTTCATGCTTTTTCAGCAAGCCCTGCAAATACGAGACACAGTCGCTTTTTAAAATAATTTCTCATACTTGGGATGCTTTTATAAAATTAATCACATTTTTTACAATATAGGCCTTCAAAAGGGACCAACAATAACCTCTAAATTGGAAAGACAGTTAAAGAAAAGGTTTGTGAAGCTCTAACCAACAATGATGCAACAAGAACAAAGAGTTGACAGCTTTCTCCACACCTGGATGGCAGCGAGGGTGTCTCCATAATCCTCACTGGCTACTAATGTCATCTTCTCATTGATCCAGGCTTCTTCTTCCTCAACGTTTGCTACGAACTGCTGGTACTCCAGAGACTCCTCCAGACGCTGACCCCTGTAAGGGAAAGAAAGGTAAAATTAGCCCCAGTGTTGCCCTATGGCTTTAAGATATAAAATGTAAAAACAAATTACAGCAGCAGAAAATCTAAGAATGTTTGGAGACTGAACCCTAAAGGCACAATCATTCACACTTCACTCCTCCAGGGGTATCTCCAGCTCTAGGCCACAAAGCCTGCAGCTGCTGAAGGACTAAAACAAATCACTTTCTCCCACCAGTTTCTACTCAGAACACCACCCTGGTAGTGGATTAAGGACAGTTAATTTCAAGTCTACGGTTTCCAACTGGTGCAAGAAACGCCTAAACACAGCACACCTCAAAAAAAAAAAAAAAAAAAAAAATTACTGGCTTTCATATGTGCTACAAACAAGCAAGATATTACGTAGAAATCCATCAAGAAGAGAGGTTTACCTGGATAGCAGGTTCATGGGCAGCTAATTCTGCTTCTAAGCGCTTGTGTTTCTTCCTGAGGTTCTGCACACCGGTGAGGTCTCTGCCATAGTCCTCTGAGCTAACCAACAGTTTCTTCTCTCTATGTTCAAGAGAGAATAAAACATTTGAAGTTACTTCTATAGGCCAAACCTGACAAAAGAAAAAAAACCTGCAGATAAGGAAATGCTCCACAGAGCACAAAAATCTTGGATGTAAGAAGTTGTGTACATGAGTTATCAGCCAACAGCAGCTGCTTCGGGCAGCATGGTCAGGAGTTAACGTGTGGGGAAAAGCAAGCAAGCCACAGAGGGCCTAGCATTTCTCTCTGAAGAATGGAGCTTCTCTGTATTGTTTTCTTTCTAAGAAGATAGATACCTTTTGTAAGGTTTACCTGCTTCTGTCCAATTCTGTTTTTTATTTTACAAGCATGACAAAAAAAGCACTCTAAATTTGAACAACTATCAGGCTCACTTCTCTCCCTCCTCCCAAGATAATTCTTCCAGTAGAGAGCTTCCCTTCTTGGGGTTTGACTAAAAAAAAAAAAAACCAGAGCACAAAAATCTTGGATGTAAAAAGTTGTGTACGTGAGTTATCAGCCAACAGCAGCTGCTTCGGGCAGCATGGTCAGGAGTTAACGTGTGGGGAAAAGCAAGCAAGCCACAGAGGGCCTAGCATTTCTCTCTGAAGAACAGAGCTTCTCTGTATAGTTTTCTTTCTAAGAAGATAGATATCTTTTGTAAGGTTTACCTGCTTCTGTCCAATTCTGTTTTTTATTTTACAAGCATGACAAAAAAAGCACTCTCAATTTGAACAACTTCTATCAGGCTCACTTCTCTCCCTCCTCCCAACATAATTCTTCCAGTAGAGAGCTTTCCTTCTTGGGGTTTGACCAAAAGAAAACCCTGTAGATAAGAAGCTACACCCAAACTAGTGCTGAAGCCAGTTTGAGTACAGTTTTCCTTCAGTGGGGGGCAAAAGAGATTTATTGTAGAGACACAGACTGGTGGAAAAGGCAAGTTATAAAACCATACTACAGACTATGGATGTTGTTAATAAGCTGGCAGTGAGCACCCCTCCCCCTGCCAGAGCCTTGAACTTCCAAAAATACACACTTGATCCAGGACTCCTCATCATCCATATCGCGGAAGAACTGATGCAAACGGTGGGACTCGTTGAGCTTTGCCCGGCGAGCAGCTGCCATGCTCTTAATCCTCTGGAAGCGCCCGTTAATGGTCTCACGTTTGTCCTTTACTTGGGACGTATCGAAAGCGCTGCTGGTCATCAGACTGTCAGCCTGACTGTTCAGGTCCTTCAGACGGTCCTGGAAAGGTTGGGTGAAAAAGTGTGTGAATTGCTTGGATCTCATTTCTGCGTTCGTTATGTCAGTATAAAAATCACAATCTGACTCTGTACAGAGTCAGCGCAGTTTTTTATTAAGGCATCGTGTTTCAGCAGGTCTGTGACTGCAGCATGTATTGAAGTGGTATCTGTAGAATTTGCTGATTACTCTGATTTATCTTCCCAAACTAAAAGAGAAAGCAATACCTCATGAGCAGATATATCAGCTTCCAGTAACTGGTGTTTCTTCAGAAGGTTGTTAACTGATGCCAAGTCCTTCCCATAGTCTTCAGATGCCAACAAAGCCTCCACCTAGGGGTGGGGAAGGAAAAAGGGGATGGAGACCGAGTTGTAATCTCACAACAATGACAGTGTCTTTAAAACTGTGCAAATTAATTCTCTCCTGAATTTTCTACAACATGGATAAACCTTTGCTTCATCACCTGATCAGTTCCTAACAGATTATATGCAAATATGTTTCTTCTCACCATATTGTTTATAAACAGTAAAACATCCACAAGAATTTTAATTCCAATAAAGATTTTTTTCAAAATAAATTTAAGTCTCGCTCAAAGATCTAACATCAGCAAAAGAAATAAAACACTTAGAAAAACAAGTCTTACAATTAAATACTCCCAATCTCAGTTACCTCTGAAAGCCAGAAATCAAAGTCCTTAATTCCAGTATTAAAATTCTGTTGCTTATTAGCTTCCTTCAGTTTCTGACTCTTCTCTGCTGATTTCTGTACCAGGAACTGCCACTGGTCAGCCAGTGCAGCCAGGCGTGCCTGTTAGAAAATGAAAAAGATAAATGCAACAAACTAAAAACATAAATTCTGATAAATGCAAAACCCGAAGAAGGTACAAGTTTGGCTGCCAATTCCAAATACACAAGTTACCCAGTCGCTGCCCCGTGCTGCCTGGCCATAAATCAGTTCAACTTTTACATTTTGATCATAGGATTGGAAATATTCTCACCCTTGAGAATGAAGCAGAACGATTACCCCGATTACTACTGCATAGTTAAAATAGAAGAGCTTCTATAAAACAAGATTTGGTTTTGAGGGATACTGCCCTCTCCCAATTATCCAAACACTTCTCAAAGCAAAACCTAAGCAAATCTGCTAAATCCTGTGGTACCTTCACAGCATCCTCGCTGCCGGCACAGGCTCCTCTTTCGATCAGCGAGTTCCCCATGTCGATGACCCCGCGGATGCGATCGGCGTTGGCGTGGAGCTCAGCTTCAAAGGCCTGGTGCTTCTGGTGCTTGCTCTGAACAAGACAAAAGCAAAACTGTCAGAGACTGGACAGAAGGCTCCTAAATTGTTCTCATGGGCTGAGAGGGCAACACAAGAGTTGTCGACATACATAAAGGGGTCTGTATATAGCCTGATGTGAAGAAGTTCTCTCTCTTAGTAAGAATACTTATTGCTCACTCAAATATTAACTCTCACTAATCTGGGTAACCACCAAGCTTTAGTGTAGCAGAACTGCCACTGAGCTGATATGTGTAACTCAGGCAACACCTCCTGCATTTCAGAGATGTCCCTGCAGCATTCCTTGCATTAGGCTTAGCTGTTACTCGAGTAAAGCTTTCTCATTTTCAATGCCATCACCCTTGAATAGCAGCAGTGTTACATACCCTAAGCAGAAGAACAGGAGATCATCCTTTCTACTCCTGTAATAATTTCACAGATTTCTATTCGCCTTCCTAATCTATAGGCAATTAAATTAAATCAAATCACTGCTGCAGCCTATCTGCTTTATGTATAGTTTTGATCTTAGTCGAAGTCATACATGGCCACGTTATATATTCAAATAATGAATTAACAACTAAAAACCTCTATAAAAAAGCAACTGTATTATTTGTTAAATTTTTTTCTCTGCTGAGTTGAGAGCACCATGAGAACAATAGGAGCCTTGGTGTGGGAGGAAATATGCAGTTCTCTCTCATATATACATGATCCATCCACCCACCAGGAAGATAACAATAGCACAAAAATGACAAGACAGAATTTACAAGTATTAACTGGAAATGCTAGTAACAATGGACATGGGGATACAATGCCCTGAGAGAATGGAACAAAAGGAAATGTTAGATTAAAAATAAAAGATGGAAAATACTATAGCGCTGGCATGAGAAATTCTGCATGAACTGCTTCATTTTGGGAACTGTTAATCCCCAACAAATCCCAGGCAATATAAATGGTTTAATATAAAAATTTCATGTACCACAGCTTAAAGTGACAAACAATGACTCTTTCCTTTCCTACTCTAGTCAGCTTCCCCTTTCTTTGTTTTGTCGTCTTCTTCCATATATCCTCATTTTACTCCACTTCTTGGATTTTTATAAGTCTCATCAGCTTTCCATCTGGTGTATAATTTTTTTTCTGGAGTTATTCATTCTGTGCTACTGCTGCAAGAACTAAACCATCTAGTTCTATTGTTTTATTGGATCCTCCATCTTCAGCATTTGATTCTACAACTGGCATTTTAAGTGTGTTAAATCATCAGCACTCCAGATCCAAACAGGCCCGATAGCCACATTTCTGAAACAGGAGAGAAACCCACTTTTCCATGGGTTAACTCCTGAAAATCCCTGAACTACATCACTAATGCACCACAAATTAAACAGATCATGCAGAACACCTGCAAAACGAAGACATAAATAAATGATGCTGAATAGGCATTAACAAAAAAGCCACACCCATAACATGAAGATCAACAGCTGTACCTGGATGTAGGTCAAGAATTAATAGAAAATAAAGAGATTGCATGAACTGATGGATGGAGCAACAGAGTGCAACCAGGCCTTGTGCTCACACATAAGCTAGAGAAGGAAAACAAATTCACATACCAGGGCTAGTCCAAACTACTTACCAGCAGTTTGGAAAGCTATAAAACAGATTGAGAGAAGTAGTTCAGTGCATTCATACTACCTCATAAACCAGTATTAAAACATAAGTGGTAACTTTAATTATTTATTCCTTAATACTGAAAAATAAATGAGATGTCACATTTTAGAACATAAGACAGAGATGAGACCCAAGAACTCCATTTCCTCATTTCATTATCTAGATGCTGGGAGAAAGACAGAATAGCTACTCAGGGGTTTCTTCAGGCAAATTGCTGCTGCAGATACCACATATCTTATTAATTATCTGCATCAATAATTACCAAGTGAGTTCTATTTTGGGTCTCCTTTCATGCATAATGTAACTTCCATTTTCTCCTTGTTAAAGGGAGCCCATATCCAACGTGGTGTATAACTCTGTTATCATTGAACAAAAATTTCCGACTACATTTTTTCAAACCAGTGTACACTTTGCAAAGTTAAACTTCATATTTTGTTTTTTTGAGCTGAGAATCATATTCACCTGGATATTTGTAGGATCCTTATACGACTCATCACTTGCAGTCTGGAGCTTTTCACTGATCCAAGCTTCTATTTCATCCACATCACGACTGAACTGCTGGAGCGTCTGAGACTCTCCCAGCTTCGACCTCTTCTCAATCATTTGCGCTTTCAGACGAAGCCATCTGTGTGTAATTAAATACATACACTGAATGAAAAACCAGGACTGCACATGGCATCACGTTTAACAGCCACAAAATGTTGACAAAGAGGATTCTCTCTCAGTCAGGATCTGCATCCCCAAAATGGGGCAATACTGACCTGTCCAGAACCTCATTGCGCCTGTTCGCAATGACTCCTTTCGCGTAGTGATCAGCAGAGATCAGCTGGTCAGCAAAGGACTGTAAGACAGCAATTTTCTCTTCCTATTAAAAACAGAAGCCATGAATTAGAATTGGGATTCCTTAAAGTCAAATGACGAGTAGGGTCTGGAATGGAACAAGGGGTTTTTTTTTCTTCTTTAAATATACATTATTGTAAATGTGAGTCTATGAAGAAAGTCTATCTTCTACAGGACTGGAGATCTCAACTTCAGAACATCTTTCACTTGTGGCATTTAGGAAAAAGTATCTTTTGGACTTTAAGCTACAGCAGTAAGATCTCTCAGTAGAAGCAGGCAGCTTTCTTTTACAATAAGCTTTTTTTGCTAATAACCTGCCTAAGAAAGACTAAACTATTTTCCCCTCACTTCAGCTACACTCCTCACCTGGACGTTGATTGCCTTATCAAAATCTTCATGTTTCTTGATGAGAGCCTCCACGCTGTCTAAGGAATCTCCTTTATCTTCTGTATTCAGGAAAGCCTCTCGGGCAGCCATCCAGTTTTCAGCTTGTTCACAGTCCCGATGAAACAGCTAGGGAGAAAAAACTCCAAAGCATGAGAAAGACAGTCCTAGGAAGAGCACCGCTCGTCACTATGAAAGAATAAACTGTCTTATGAAAGGAGGAATTATTTTTGAGTTTTCTGAAGAAATGCAGCACGTTACCTGTAGTTCTAGGCACTGGTCTAGCATCATTCTGCGCTGGACCCAGGCCTTCTCCAGGTCTGTTCGTTCTTGATCTAGAATATCCAGTTTCTCCTTGATCTCTGGGCTGGCATAGTGTCCGTGAGCCAGAAGTTGTTGCCCAAACTGTTCAAATGCCTGGAAGGTGCCAGCTCTTGCATCTATTTCCGTGCGGTGTTCCTGCAAGGTACAGAGACTCATTATTAAATAAATAGACAGCAGAGCTGGAACTGATCTATTTTTGGAACTGTAACTGGAAAGTGTCAGAAAAAGAAGCATTTGTTGATGTTTACGATACACACTTCTCTTTCACATACCTGATGCCTTTCCAATAAAGCTTCGGCTCCGGTCACATCCTTTGCAAGTTCATCTGAGGAGACCAGGCCCCGGATTCCATTGATCCAAGACATAAGGTCCCTGCAAACACACATTGATAGAGAATTTTTCTCTCTCTCCATTAAAATAAGTCAGAACAGGAAAAACAGTCCCTTTTTTGAACCTTCTCCAGAAATATCCCTGTGGAACAATAATATACCAGACAGAGGAACTGGGGAGGAGAGGGATAGCATCTGTACCTGAAGTCACTGAGGAAACGCTGCAGGTCGTGAGAATCTCCAAGCTTCTCTTTGCGCTGGTCAGCGCGTTTTCCCAGACTATTCCAAGCCTGGTTCAACTCAGTACATTTCTCCTGGAGATCTTCAGCAGATTCTGGATGTGACTGGATCAGGCGCTGGGCAGTTTCACCAAGAGAATTCACCTAGAATTAGAGAAAGGGAAATAAACACAATGAAGGCAGAAAGAATCTTTTCTGTAGCTCCACCATTTCTGACAGATAAAACGAAAGCTGTTGGTTTTGTCCTTGCAATCTCACCTTGTCTCCAAGAGCTGCCAAGTCTCTCTCAAAGCCTTCGTGTTTGCGCTGCAGAGCCTGCACACTGGCCAAGTCATGTCCATAGTTGTCTGTATTTAATGCTTGATTCTTCTCCTCTATCCATTCTTTTGTTTCATCAGCATCTCTGATTTGAGTACAGGGAAGGTAAAACCAGAATTACAACAGAGGTCATACTAAGATCTCCATTACTCAACAGGTGACCAATTCCCAGAAAAGCTCACATAGCTGATGGTTAAGTTATTTCCCAAGATGATACAAGCAACTTTTGGCAAAATAGGACAGTAGTCCAGAACTCCTTTAAAGTTATTTCCCAATGAGATGGAAGTGACCTTTGGCAAAATAGGACAGTAGTCCAGAACTCCCAAAGCCACAGCAATTCCATGCTTTTGTGTTTAAAAAAAAAAAAAAAAAAAACCCACAGCAATTCCATGCTTTTGTGTTAAAAAAAAAATAAAAAAATAAAAGAATCTTTCTTTTTCTAGGGAGAATATAAGGAATTCTTACTCTTTAGACCACCTTCCTGGTGGTCTAACTTCCACTGAACAAGCCAGGGGTTGAAGTATAATTTGTTTAGAATAGGTCCCACTGTGTTCTAGAACTCCTATAAAAGTATTTTACTGAATTAAGACCAAATATGCTACAAACACCTCACCTGTGGAATCTCTGGACTTCGTGGGCACTGCCCAACAGCTGGCTTCGTTCCTCTGCCAACTGCTGCAGAGATCTCCAGCGTTCATTCAGCTCCTGCAGAACAAAAACAAACAAAAAAACCTCACTGATATCACAGACCACAGTTTGACACCGTTTCTGTTTAAACAAGAAACTCTCCTGCTGAACTGACTGACCCTTCAGGATATCAAACAGGAAACTTTAGTATCCAGGAACATTTTGTTCACTGTGCTTACCTGCGCCTTCTCCACTTCGCCGACATTGGCAAACATGCCAACAACCCTTTCCTCATCTCCATTCTTATCGGTTTTATTTCAGCGGTCTACTGAGAATACTGATAGCAATGCTGGAAGATTTCCTAAAATAGCTACACTTCTTTCTTTTGCACTATTTAAACTTCATCAAGCAGTCGATAAAATAAATGAGAAGTCAAGACTGGCCTCTAAGTACATGTCAAGGTTACTATATTCTGCTTAATTCCAGAAGAACGCATAAATTCAAGTAGCCTAGTTAAATAAAATCATTTTGAGGCTTTCTCCTGAGATTTCAAACAAAATGATTTTACATATATAGTAAGAAATTGATTTAACCTGAGAAGCAAATGCTGTATATGTCAACACTTCTCTCAATAAGTTGATTCAAAGGCGTTTATAAAGAGTAATATAAATATAATAATTTATAATATAAATATAATATATATAAAGACAAAGACTATAGAAAGAGAGGGTCAAAAATGTTCTCAGCTTTTAAATTGGCTTGGAAAAAGTTGTATTATTACCTTGATTGAGTTAAAGGTTGCCACTGTGTGTACCATCATACGTGCCGACTGTATGAAAAGGCAGAAATAAAAAAATCTTGCATTAAAGTCAGCTCTAACCAAGCAGAACCAAAAATCAGACTGAAAGAAAACTTCTTAAAAATCCATTAACGATTGGGCCTAAGTCAAAAATTCAGACTTTGTAACATGCAACTCTACACAACGCAAGAAGAGAGAAACTCCCTAGATTTTAAAGGTTTCAATGAAAACTGTTGAATTCTTTAATTTTTATACACTTCTTTAGAACAGTGATTTGAATACACTGCTGTTTAAGATGAAAGAGAAAGGTGACCAATAGGAAAATTAATGCAAGTAAATTACAAAAGCAACTAAGAGTAATTAATTTCAAGACCTCAGGCATTCTAGATCCAAGTAAGAATAGTTAGAAATTTACAAGTGTGTACTATAATGTTACTGTAAATTGTAACAAACAATAATAGTCTTAGTAAGGACAGAAAAGAGAAATTCTAAAGGCAACATTCAATAAGTGAATTCTCTCAACTTCGCTGAGCTTTTGGCAAAATCAGCTTAGCAATTAATTCAGATATTTCTAGAGCATCATGAGAAGGGGTGGTTAATTAGAAAAATAATGACCAATTCCCTCCAATATGCAATCTACTTTTCTGACAACGATGGATTACTTGCAAAATTCATCCCTTTGCAGATATGCACACAGAGAAGAACTTATAGTTTGCTAAGTTACTATGAGACTCTTGGGATTCACTGTACATGCGTACCATCGGTGCAAAAAAAGTATTTAAAGAAGTCACCAATTCCTGTTGACACAGCTGCATTTTCTACAATGCATCGTGTACTTATCTGATTCTCTCACATTTACACAGTTAAAAGATGTACAAGCAGCTTTAAGTCTAAGAGGGTGGATGGGAATGAAATATTACAGACAGAAGCACAATGTTGGATAATGTCAAAAATTTTCAAGATACTTTCGTGCATCAGCAGGTGACAGCTATTCCATTGTAAGCCACTAATGAATGGAGAAAGGCTTCTTCTAACAAGTGTGGAAAATGAGCTAGAGATGAATAATGGAAGACAAAGATACTGCTGTACACACACAACATATTCCTTACTAAGGGAATATTGACATAAATGGATTTGACTTTCAGGAATAAAAATATTTCTTTCTGCTGGCTACATAAAAAAAAAAAGAATTAATTCCAAGTGAACAGGGACTATTTCACTTCCAGTGACCATGTAATACCTGAAAACATTGGTATAAAAACTGGAATAGGTCTTACAGTACAAGCTCCAAACAAAACAGAGTTTTGCAGTGGAGAGGTAATAAATGGACTGTCAGCAATTTCTATGACTAAAGTAATTCTGCTGGAAACCTCTCTCAGCTATTCTCATATTCTTATCTGCAAACAGAGAGCTGACATTGTTACTTGACTTCGCTCAGATGGCTTTTATTTTTAAAACCTATATGACATGTTCATATACTGAGAGAATCTGCATGTAAATATACAAAGGTGAATTCCTACTGAATGCTCAACAAATTTTCGTAAGATGCTCGTTGAAATAAACGAGCAATGTGAAATAAAAATCACTAACCCTAAATTGATACCAATTCAAACACCTGCTGAAACTAGTACAGCATTAAAATAAATATACAATAATCTTTTAAAAAAAGGGGGTGGGGGGGAGGGAGAGGGATAAAAAAAGGTTAAAAAGGGCATACGAGAAGGTGCACGGTCTAAAACACACGATAGGCTGTAGTTTTTGTTTTGCTTTCCTGTTGTGTGCTACTAAGTAACAACACCTACCTTCCAAGGAGAGGCTGTCTTAGAGTCAGTTTCATCCTGTTTGAAAATGTGAAGAAACAGCTTTAAATAGGAAGCAAAATCTAAAACTATCAGAATATACTAAAAATCTTTGAAAGTTTGCCATATTCAATCCTTAACAGAATAAATCAATTTTTACAAGGAAGTATTTCTGTCATTTTGGGTTATCCTGCTCTGCAGTGATTTGTGATGTGGGGTAGGACACTCAGGAAATAAAGGGATCAGAGAGAAGATAATCTTTTTATGTCCATTCAAAGTCACTATTGAGTTCCTTAATGGAAATGGACCACAATTATGGCTGAACTTCTACTTGTACAGCCCAAACCCGTTATAATCACCAGACTATCAACACTTACCCTGGGCATCATACCATAGACTTCCTGCAAAGGAAAAAGGACAAACAGAAACAACTTGTTATTTTCTAATAGAAAGTTTTCACTCTTTTTGAGAACATATGTTTGAGAACGTTTGAGAAATTGGTTACCAGCAGGTCATTAACCTCAATAAACAGTGCTCACACAACCTAAATGCGTAGCAGAAATTAGAGTTTGACTACTCAGCCATCTGCAACACATCATCCTAGGGCTCAGGAAATAAATAAGCTGCTTCAATACTGTGCTGGCACCAGATAGAATTATTTACAGAAATAGCACAAGTATGTGGAAAGCTGCAAAAAAATAGATATGTTATTAATAAAAAAAAAAAAAAACAAACCCAGACAACCCACAAAACTCCTCCACTGTAAAATGAGCTCTATTTTATTTCTCTTTCCCCTAGCATTCCTCACCATTTTTCCTGCAAAGAAATGAAGGCTGACATTTCAAATTTATATGAAGCAAAGCTAATGCATGGATTCTCTATGACTTTTAATGTTATTTTAAAGACTTTCAATTCATAAAAAAAGAAAATAAAAAAGCCCCAGATGGGGCAATTTGCTATAGCACTATTTAAAAAGAAACAACTCAAAGGGTACCCTTGTGGTGGCCATACTACAGAACAGACATTAAGTATCTCTGGTTAAAATACCAGCATTATCAGACCAGAGAGCAAAAATGAAAAGCTAGAATCTTGCAATGACACACAAAGTAGAAGACAACAGGCAAAAGACAGGAGAAAAACCTCTTTTGCTTCTCAAGAGGATTAGAGTAAGTCAGAAAAAGCAGACCTGTTGCTGTACTGCTTGCACTTCATCTGCCATCAACCCTTCTGACTCCAGGTCACTCGCAACCTTGTTTATGTCCTTCAGACGTGACTCGTTAGCTTTTAAATCCTGCAGAGAACAGTAAAATACCACAGCGTTAACATTCACAGAAGGAAAACATGTGGAACAAGCTGGCACACCAGGGGTGCCAAAAAGTAGATGGTTTGTGAACAGCAGGAATTCAGCACGTTTGACCTTCACAGTTCCCAGGGAACATACAATGCACCAGAGCCTATGCCAAGAAACCACAGCGACCGGAGCCGAGCATCAATGGATTAACAAAACACACTATCAGAGTTACTGTACACCAAGTTAATTAACAATTAGGAATGGGATAAACTTTTAAGCTGTCAAGTATACAACATTACCAATGAGAAGATCAAAAGCTATCATCCTTATTACTGCACGTATATGCTAAAAGGCCAACTTAAAAAGTAATTTAACTATGACACTTAAACGCTTCCAGCCAGAGAGACTTACAGTTAGCTTTCTACATGGCAGGAAGGGAACCTGGTTAAAAAAAAGTAATAGCAGAGAACTAGCACTTAAAATGTGTCACCTATTAAAATTTAATTTCAACCACCAGCTTATTTTAAAAGAACCCAAATCCAGTTAAGTGCTATCATCTTGCTATCAAGAAAGCATCAGCTTCTTTTAAAATAAGAACCCAAATCCAGTAAGTGCTATCATCTTGCTATCAAGAAAGCAATTTTTTCACACCTCATGCAAAATAAAAAAAACCCCATAATTAACTAGTATTGCAAACATAGGGAGAAAAAAAACAAAACTGAAAGCCTACCAGAATTTTGACACAGAGAATTATTTTTTCATATCTTGGGAATAAAAACCCTATAGATGGAAACGAAACCACATCTTTCCTTTCAACCAAAAGCAAGAGGAACATCTTAACTGAAGGTTATGCTTTGCACAAAATGAAATTCCTCCAAAGCTTGGCAGGTTCTATATTCGAATGTGTTGAAAGAAAGTTTCCGTTCTTTGGGAGCTGGGAAGCACGTAGCAACCAGGAGACTGTGACCAAACTGAAGACTTTTCACTGTGGGATTCTCTCTATCATCACAAACCAAAATTTAAAAAAAGTGTATATACTTTTTTATTTCCCAAATAAATATACCTTTTTATTTCCAAATCTATGTTTCCTTCTCAACTATGCTCAGCTATGAAAAACTATAACGGACGGATGAACAGAAAGCCTGAGGGGAGAGACCAAAACCAAACACACACATCATGCAGCATTACAACATACCTTCTGAAAATCATCAAATTTCTTCTGTAGCACCTCAACCTGCTCCAGGTCAGCACCCACTTCCTCATTTGTGAGTGCAGCTTCCTTCTCATTAATCCACTGTTGAAGCTCATTAGCTTCACGGAAAAGCATAAATTTTTTGCAGCTTTTTTCTAGCATGCCTTTACGTTTTTCTCCCAGCTCAAGAAGAGAGTGATACCTGGAACAAGGAGAAAAGGAAAGTGGGGGCCAGTCAGATTGGACCGAGCAGAATCACAGTAATTTACTGAGTTCTGGCATCACCAAAGACGAGGGAAATCCCCGCAGTCTACTCACTGGTCTTCCACAGAATGATCTACTTGCACGCGATCAGGTAAATGTAAACTACATGTGTCTCCCCTACGTGGGTACACACACCAAAATGAGACCTCCCACATGCAACACTTCACTGGGCAAAAGCAAACCCAAGTCACAGCTCAGGTGAAGGTAGGCTCTTAAGCTACAGCATTACCACAGGGCAAGAATGATCCCATAGGGTCTGACTTTGAGGCGTATTTTCCTATATCACATCAAGGTTGCCATCAGATTACGAAGACCCACTAATCTCTCAGCCATTGGACATAAATGGCTAGGTCTTACCCAGCCATTATTCAGTGCAAAATCTGCTGAATGTTTAGAAATAGGTGTTATTTCTTTGATGACACAACTATATTCAACTGGGAAATCCATAAACTCATTTCACTTACGCTGGTTTTATACCAGTTGAATTCCCAACAAGTTACTGGTCATTTACATTAGAATAAATGCAAAGTAGAACCTCCAAAATATTTAAATTGGTTTGAACAGGCAAATAAACCTCAAAAGACCAGCCTTGTATTTAAAGCCACAGGCAGACTGAGGTCTCCTATTTAATTCCTGGTAACCAACTAGACACAGACAATCCTACAAGACCTCTCCCAAGCTATTGCTGAAAAAAGCAAACAGTTCTACAGTCATTGATACTGAATTACAGATTTCTTTAGCAATGCATAATGACTGCTTTTAAAAAAACCTGCATTCAGAGAAGCCCCACCTTTAACAGCCATTCTTACTGTTACCCTATTTTAAGTCTTCTGGAAGATGAGATATTCCAGCTGCATCTGGATGCTTTTTTTATAGCCTGCATCAGATTGCACATTGGTCTACTACAGTGATCAACAGCAGCAACTGATTCCCATTATTAAGCCCCGAGGATATCCATTTTGATGTTATTAAATCAGATTACATAAAACACCACTGAGACACCTGCAGGGTCCTCAAGTGGGAAATGGCAGCCTTACAGTGTTTCTATTTCCCACACTGGAGCACGCAGGCAAATACTGAGGAATTACACCTCCCAGCTTGAAGAGTTCAATGAAGCAGCATTTTCCTAACCAGTAACTCAGAGCTGACCAAGTCTGTTGAGGAAAATCCTCGATACCTAGGCTGTAATGTCTTCACATCGAACTGACAATAAACTTTCCATGGAAATCAGTCTTTCCATGCAAGGAGAGACTTTGTGGTTTCCTGTCCATCCTGGTTTAAAGGCTGGACAGAAAGGAACTAGGAATCTTTCGTATTAGGTTTGAATGGAAACATTCTACCCTGACTTCAATGAGTTGCTGTGAGCAGGAAAACACTCCTGTGAAGCCTGGCCCGACCGCAGATGTTTGCCTCAGCGTAACATCCTAGGTATTAACTACTGGCCAGGCTCAGAGGGGATCTGGGGCAAATTCCCTTTAGAAGCAGACCTTCCCTCAAAGTTGCTTTGTAACATTTCAGAGATTAACGTAACACTTTCACTTTTGATTCTCTATAAAAAGACAGTGAGGCACAGCCAACTAACACTACTGCTTTGGATCTCCCAGCAACTTCCAAGACCATAAAGCAAACTTGGTTATTTTTTCCAGGGGATACGAACACAAGTTTGAAGATGAAATTCATGTTACAATAAAAAACAATCATCCTATAAACTAATGCTCTTTAACTACCAAGTGTGAACATTACTTTATATGATAAACTGTCATAACCCCACCCCTCTCAAACTCTAACATTCGTACGTGACGTAATTCTTGGTGTATATATTTTAGGTATATTTATATAAACAAACTAATATTTCTATCTGCACCTCAGAAAAGGCAAGAGATGCTTTTTAAAGAAAATAGTCTAGGTATCACTAAAGCCTAGGCTGGTGAGCAAAATCAGCATAATGGAAAATAACACCATCAACCAATTTAGCAGCAGAGAGGCGACCAACAAGATAAGCAGCTGGCTGGCTGGCTGTAAGAACACACGAAACACACACCACGACACTCATCTAGACTAAAATAATCCACATTGCAGAAATCGCTTCCTTCATGTCTCTTTGGAGCAGCTTTCCCAAAGAAAGAAACAAACAGTGGGAGAATGAACAGTGACAGTACAGAGACAGCATGGTTTAGAAAGGGCTAATCCTACTCACAGTTCTTCGACCTGTTTCATACGCAGAGATACACTGCCGACTTCCTTAGTTATGAGAGTCCTGCACAGACAGAGGGAGCACAGCAAATGCATGCAAAAAATTAGTCAGATTAACAAAAATAATGAAAGCAGCAGCTCCGTCCATGGGTTGTCTGTGGTAGGAGATGGTTAAGAGTTCACATTTAAATGGAGAAAATTAGGTGTCATTCAGAAGCAAACAAAGCAAATCAGACCAAGAGTACAATTCACATAAGGAAACCTCAGCAGTACAGTTGAACTCTCTCTATAAGGTCTCCTCGTTCCCTGGTCGTTGTGCCATGGAATTGTCAACTAAAGGGTGCCCCCCTCTCCTTGGCTCAAAAATAAGGCAGCCCTGTTCCAGTTCTTAAAAGGCAGCATGCAAACCCATAGAGAAAGTTATACATTATTAAAATCCTGCACAGCATGTCATAATTTTCCAGCATGCTTTCTTCTCACTGTTACAAGCTTTTTGGATTTGGTTTTTTCTTTCCTTTCTTAATTCTAGAGCTAAAGCTAGTAATTATTGTATGCCACTGTAATAACTGGTGATTCAAAACAACTGAGTGGGAAGAAATTCTCCCATAGAACAACAGCGTAGCTGCGCAAACAGATGGGAGTATGCACAAAACCTTCAGCTTTGGCTTCCAAGTGGCTTGATAAGATGAGCCAGTAGCTCACAGCTATCACCCCCAGCCCTTGCCTGAGCTAATCTACAACTACCATGTGCTTTAAGAGCTCATTACCAAGCAGTCATGCAGTCTTCTCTATTTGCAATGGCATTTTCCTCTTTTAAGGAAAAAAGAAGAAAAAAAAAGAGGGGGGGCATATTTCAGCCCATGTAATGGCAAGAAATAATGGCACAACAAAAGAAAGTAATGTGGTAGCACCAAAATAGTGGCAGCTCCTAAGAAGGTGACCTCCAGAGGCAGCCCTATATAGGGAGGGTACTGTACTTTATGTAACCAAATTTAAGAAAGCTTTTCAAAACAGATCACACACTCAGAAGTGACAACTACAAATACAAGAGCTGCTTAGGACAGATATAACTCACAAACAAGTTTAAGTTGTTAGGTACAACAACAAAAGGAACACATAAAATACTGGAGTCAGACAGCAAGTTGAGGTCTAGTGTCATGAGTTTTACAGTTAAAAAATGGGAAAAGCAACAAGAAAATTTAGAATAAGAACAAAACAACTCAATATGAGGCCCCTGGTAAAGGAGCCCCTTGTTTTGCTCCAATTAATTACTCCCTAGTGTAAGAGGCATCAATCTAAACTTCTGGCAGATGCGAGGCAAAGGCCAAGCCAGCAAATGCTGGATGGGTGTCATATCTCATCAGTTAGATCTTACTGGTTGTCAATTTGCTCCTGCCGCAATGCTATGCTGCCTTGCTCTTCCAGCAAATTCTCTCGGGATGCAGACTGGGCAGGATCTAGTTTTTTCACATAGGCAGCTGGTACAAAGCCCTGACGGTCATTAACTTCAACCTTCCACCAGTCCTGGAAAGTAGAAAAAAAAAACACAAGCAAGCTCTGTAAGGGAAGCACCAAGCATAAAGTATGCTGAGCAACCAGAAGCTGCAACTTAGAGCCTTCTATTAACACAAGAAGAGCAGTGATGCTCACGAGTTTGCTCTTTTTATGAAGATCATTTCAAACTGTCTCTTGAAGGCATCTAGGCCTTACTTCCATGTCTCCCCTTGTGTTTGGTCAAAAATTTCTCAACAGTGGGGAAGTAAGTTCTCTCACAGACACACACCCTATAGCATATGTTGTTTATTTAACTTTGAAAAGCTGGCAGCTATAGAGGAGTATGAGAAAGAGAGCTATGCTAAAGTGCTGAATGGGAACACGGACTGAATGTGCAAATTCTTTAACTTCTTTGAATACTCTTATTCAAAAGAAGAAAACCAAAAATGCTTCGCGGAACACACAACACCAAGGGAGCCAAGCAGCTCAGCAAATTTGAAGGCAAGAGCATACCTTGTTGGTGCTGTTGAGTAAGGTGAGGATATCTCCCTTTTTCATAGTCACCTCCCGGGGACTCTTCTCTTGGTAATCATAGAGTGCCAGAACAAGCTCTTTTCCAGTTTCATCGTCTGTGGGAGCAACTTGTTGCTAACAAAGAAGGAGCACAAGACAAATGAGTTGCTTCGTGTTTATTACAATCAACATAGTTGTCCTAAAAAACACTTCAGCCTTAGTTAAAGCTGCTGTATTACATTTATTTCAACAAGAAACATTTTAAGTAGTTGTCCTAAAAAATACTTCAGCCTTAGTTAAAGCTGCTGTATTGCTTTAAAATGTTTCTTGTTGAAATAAATGTAATGCAGATGGACTTAGTTTAGGTGCTGCCTGGGCTCAAACCCTGAAAACCACCACATTATACTTTTTTTCTTCCAAGGCAACACAGCTGCCTATTATGATTATAAAAACAGACCACTAAGTTTTTTTAGAAAATCAAGTAGAGTCTGCAATAAGGTCTCAAAACCAACTGTTATTAAGCTTTGTCTTTACCTTCTGCTGACCCAAGAATTTTAGCACCACAATTAGCATCTTTCCTTACCCTGCATGACTGGGCCTGTTCCCGTAACGCCTGTATGCTACTGCCGTAAGCGGAAAGATCAGACATCAAAGCTTCATGTTTCTTCAGAAGAGCCTGAAAGTGAAAGATAAAAACAGGTACACCTTAGCCATTTTACAAATACCATTCCGCTTAAAATATATACTTTGGCTCCATATGCAGGGAATGTGGGTTTTTCACAGCTGCCAGTCTTGTGACTCTCATGAGAATAACCACTGCTATTTATTCACAGCCTAGATAGCAGTCTGAATGCTTCTGGTGCTTTCCCTCTACCTTATCTCAGACACATTCTTTTGCTGTGACCAGGAATACCACGTATCACTCTGGAAATAGTGTTAAGTTTGAAAGTATGCCTTTAAACTGCACTTCACTTTGATGAAACGTCAGTCAACGGTGTCTGGGACTCGGTGTCTGGGACAACGGTGTTTGGCCACAGAACAATATTAGTAAAATAACTCTAGACAAAAAAATTACTTCCAGACCAGTGAACTGCTGAAAATCAGACTTGCACTGAAATGCAACAGCAAATGAGGAATTTGCTGCTATTAGTCTCATTATACTTTACAAAAACCCTATTAAAAATTTATTCAAATATAAAGTTTCTTGGTTTAGTATACTGAAGAAAAAATTTCACATGCATTGACTAGGACACAGAAAAAAAACAAAAAAAAAAAAACAAAAACAGGGTCATCTTTTGACCCAGAGCCAAAACTCAGCTTGATGCAAGAATCTTCTGCCTTTTTTCTTAAGAATCCTGAAATTAGCAGGGCTCCTTACTCTTTTACCACTGGACAAATCCTCCCTGTGTTTATGCAAAACTGATTGAAACAACTATCTCAAATACCTCAGCAGAGTCTTCATCTTTTCCATAGTCTGTGCTGCCTACAATGGGCTCCTTTTCCCTCATCCAGGATTCTGCCTCGTTAGCGTCAGCAAAATACTGCTGAGCCTGCAGGGAATCCTCTAAGTCTTGTCGACGCTGAGATGCTTTAGCTTTCAGAGAGTCCCATTTTTGGTTTAGCTCATTCAATTTGATTTTCACATCCTCAGCTGCAAAATGTCCTAGGTAACAGAAAGAGAGGGAACTGAAGGACTTAAGGAAACATAAATAATACACACTAAAAAATTACTTGTACTTCTTGAAAGTCACAGAAGTTAGATCTGTTTAAACCTATGTAGATTATTCTGAGTAGAATAATGAAAGCACAACTCAGCTTGTCCTTTTGCCTCCAACTGGAAGCTCTGTACCTGTCAATCAAACTGTACTAGGAACATTTGAATCATTAGGAACAAAACAAGCTGCACAGCAACATTTCCTGTCAATGGGGAAACAGGAAAGGTCTTTCCAGTGGCAGAGTTTTGATAACAAATATTATCTCAGACAGGTATTCCAAACCCTGCAATCAGAGGAATATTTTTAGTATTCTGGTGTTAAGAACACCCAGTCAGCTTGTCCTTTTGCCTCCAACTGGAAGCTCTGTACCTGTCAATCAAACTGTACTAGGAACATTTGAATCATTAGGAACAAAACAAGCTGCACAGCAACATTTCCTGTCAATGGGGAAACAGGAAAGGTCTTTCCAGTGGCAGAGTTTTGATAACAGACAAATATTATCTCAGACAGGCATTCTGAACCCTCCAATCAGGGGAATATTTTTTAGTATTCTGGTGTTAAGAACACCCAGTCGGAAATAAAGATACATGCTTATTTAAAAGCAGGAATGACTCTTATTGCCTTTGTGGAGGATCATCTCTCACATCATGATTATGTATCTCAGATACAAGCCTTTCACGGATTTGAAAATGGAGAATAAATATCATAGGCACAAAGCTGTTAAATACAGGGCTCTCATGTTTTTCAAGAACAGATGGAAATCTGTGAAAATCGTGACAGGTGCCCAGAAAGAAATCTATTTTTATTTTCAGGTGAATACTCCCAGAAAGAAGAAATAGAAGAAATCTATTTTTATTTTCAGGTGAATAACTAGAAGTTCACCCTGCCAGCAGGTACCTGTCTATTGCTTGGATAAAAACAGGCAGTAATTCTTAATTGTACAGGGACAGAGAACAAAGTCCAGCACTAAGACTTTTTGATTTCTGAAAGAAAAAGAATTAAAAAACATCAAGACATACCCTCTTCCACCATAGCATTTCCCTTCTGTGTGACTGCTTTAATGCGGGGCTCATGGCCTGCAATTTCTGCCTGCAAAGCCTGGTGCTTCTTTAGCAGATTCTGGACACCAATTAAGTCCTTGCCTGAAAGATACAAAATAGTTAATCAGCTAATTCAAAGCCATCAGACTTAACTAAAATTTCAAGGGAGCTGCAACCAGAGCTAGGGAAACTGGCACAATAAGTACTATCACAATAAAGACAAAACTTAACAAAAATTTCAAGGAAGCTGCAACCAGTGCTAGGCAAACCAGCACAATAAGTACTATCACAATAAAGACAAAGCACTCAGAAAGCTAAGTCACCCACTGGAATTGTAGAAGTGACATAACAGTTAAAGAACCACAGGTGATGGCAAATAATTAACTCCAGGCAATGTTAATTACAATTAACATTTTAGACATTTCCAGGGAATATTCAATGAAGAGAAAAGTTATAACAGAGCAATTCGGACATCTAAATCCTGGAGATATCAGGATGGTTAACAGTTAAAGAACGACAGGTGATGGATGGCAAGTAAGTAACTCCAGGCAATGTTAATTACAATAAACATTTTAGTAATTTCCAGGGAATATTCCATGAAGAGAAAAGTTAGAGCAATTTGGACATCTAAATCCTGGAGATATCAGGATGGACCAACCTCGGTTTGTTGAAGCTGCAATAGGTTCTTTTTCCCTAATCCAAGTCTCTTCATCCTCAATATCACGGAAAAGCTGCTGCAGGCGAAGAGAATCTGCAAGTTTCTGCTTGCGAGCAACCATAGGATCCTTCAGAGCTTCATAACGAGCTACTAAAGCTTCTTGTTTCTTCTTGATATTGTCAGCATCAAAGTGCCCAGCATCTTGGAACTGGCGTGCCTGGATGGTAATGCCATCTATACGATCCTAAAATTAATTCAGCAATAGCATTGTGTCACAATTTCTGTAAGATGGCTGTTGAGTGAAAACATTTTCAGGTCTTAGCTAGTAAGATATCGTGACAGATGAAGAGAACCTCAGCTGCACACTGCCAGCGCAGAAATTTTGGCAAGAGATCATCTGCAAACAAAGGAACCATTTGCTGGAAAGTTCTATATTTAAAAGCTGATCTGTTCTCCCTCCTCCAATTTCTTAAGAGTTACATGAAAACAAACCGAACAAGAACAAGCTGTTTGCAAATGGAGAGTCTAAGGAGGAATTATTTCCTATGCACATCTTTTTAAGTTGGTACTCACAGCACAAAACAATACTGTGTGCTGCTGCTGGGATAGTATGGAATCATTTTACTTTTCCAAAAGCTCATTCTTGTCAACGTCATGAGAAGATTGCTCTTCGAGACACATAGTTTATGTTTCAGTTCAAAATCATTTCTGATAAATAAACTGTAAACCCCAAAGCTACAAAAATTATGATAACACAGACCTGCTAAGGTCTCTGAAGTTAATACTTTTGAGTGAGCTGACCTAAAAGAGCAGAAAGAAAAATTATTTCTCTTACCTGATGGGCAGCAACATCTGCCTCTAGCAGGGCATGTTTCTTCTGAAGGTTCTGAACATTAGTAAGATCTTTTCCATAATCATCAGAAGCCAAGTGTCCCTCTACTTCATACAGCCACAGCTCAATGTCTTCCACATTGCGATTAAACTGCTGCTGCTGATTGGCTTCACGCAGTTTTATACCTGACCAAGACAGAGGGGCAGGAGGAAAAGAGGATTTCAGTTTTCCACTTCCTTTATCTTACTTCCTGCCTTCTCCCAGCTGAACTCCCTAGGAAAAAAAAAGAATTGCCCAAATTCTTCTGAGCAAGTTGTACCTTTGAGCTCAGTGGCCTCCAGAAGTTTTTTCCACAAGCTGATAACTTCATTCATACGAGCTGCCACTTCATCGGATGCGTAGTGATTGACATCGATCAGCTTCTGGCCAGCTTTCTCCAGTGCATCAATACGACTCTGGTTAGCAGAAAGCTCTGCTTCAAAAGCCTGATGTTTCTGAACTTTACCTTGCAAGTTTGATGGATCCTAGAGATGAAGAAAGAAAAGAACCTTTCAATCCAACATTAGCATCTATAAGACACTGAGGCATTTTAGAAATTAAACGATGTTCCGAGACATGTCAAGATGTCACCAGAGGATTTGATGCCAAAAATATGCCTTAAATCAGAATATTTAAGCTATTGAATAAGCATGATTAGAGCATGATGGTAAAAGCCCCTTGGGGTCAGGGAGAAATTACAATTCCTCCTTTTGGCATTAATACTGCCTACTATCAGCAACATTTTGGCTGACACTGCTTCATATCATTAGACTGACTACATTAAGCCCAGTATTGCCTTAAATTTATTCTAAGATTCGTCTTTATGTTTACCTTGTATGCCTCATCTGTTGCAGTTTTCATTTTTTCATTAACCCAACTCTTCAGCTCATCAGAGTCTCGGAAAAACTGCTGCAGATGGAAAGAATCTGCCAGTTGAGCACGGCGGTACATGGCTCTTTCATGAAGGGCATTTCGGCGGCTCAGCAGCTGAAGAAAAAGTAAAGGTTTTTAAATTCCTCAAGCTTATAAGAACCATCACCGCATCTGTACTTCTGGGAGAGCTCCGCTGACTTATCCTATACCATTTAAAATAATAAAGCAGGACAAGATTTAAAGTCTACAGTCCAAATCTATTTCAGATACTTACAGCATCTCTGCGTGTAGCAACATCATCCATGGCATAATGGTTGTTCTGAATCAATTTAGTAGCAAACTCATCCAATGCCTAAAGAGAAAACAGTTTTCCATTTATTTGGTGTAGTAAAAATTGTCTGTGCAAGTTTACTTAGTAGATTAATTCTCAAAAGTCTACCACAATAAAACTAACAGAAAGTCATCAAGATAGGTGTTGTTACATCCTTTTCTATCTGTATTGTCATCTTGTGTATGGAAGGAGTGCAGATTCTTGACAAACCTTCATCCACATGTGTGCTGGCACCACATGCAAGCATTGGATTACTCAGCTCTCTGAGGCAGCAATGGATCCCTATCCTCTCTTTTTCCACTATTGTCCATTTTAGAGACAATACACATCATTTAGAGACACTACATCCCACATAACAGTGCATCATTTCGCAGAGCAAACCCCATCCTTCTCTGTCATCCTGCAGCAGTGCCTCTTCCCCAGTCAACTATTCACTTGCTTTATTTCTTGCCCATTTAGCGATCTCCTAACGTAAATGTCTTACTGTGATTTTCTCCTCTTGGGCACTTAGGGACTTCTCAAAATCTTCATGCTTCTTTAGAAGAGCCTCCACGCTATCCAGAGAATCACCAAGGTCTTCATTCAGCAGAAATGCCTAAAGTGAGGAAACAAACACATCATTGATTTTTATGTTTCCATGCCCAGCTGCTCTAAGGCAACTCCAGCATGGCCAGTGATGTTTCCTACCGTATGATATCACTGCAAAGGGGACAGTGTTCCCTAAATGCCTCTAACGGCCAAACGTTCTGAATAATTCTTTTTAGCTTGTTCAGTTGTTCACATGTTCAGTGGCAGCCATGGCCACTAGGATATACCAGTTGTGTAAGTCTACAGGACACTAGCCAGAAATGAACATGCACTCACTTCTTGTTTGCTCATCCAGTTGTCAACTTGTTCAGTATCTCTGTAGAAAAGCTGCAGGTCCATGCACTGTTCATACTGCTGCCTGCGAAGCTCCCACAGCTCTAGCAACGCAGATCTTTCATCTGAGAGGATGGTCAGCTAACGGATTGGGAAGAAGAACGTACAATAATCTCATTTAACAGTCTGGTTTATTTCCATCTCAATGTAAAATCAAGTTGTGACTCCAAAGAAGTGGTTAACACTGGACTGAAAACAACCTCCTTTGTAAAAGATCATTCTCCTGTTACTGGTATCATCCACCACATATGGGGCTGGTCTTTTCTCAGCTTATCAAGCTTGAGTAGTGGCTACAACCTTCTGACTTCAGTCAGAAACCTCTCCTTTCCCAAATTAAATCTACACAGAGATATTTAATAGGCAACCATTCTTTTTGACTGCAGACCTATTGGTAAGAGAAGCTCTTCAGCAAACCAACTTGTGCTCTCAGCCTCTGAAATCTCTTTGGCCCACCCTCACTTATGGCATTTGAACTGTCTGGTTGACCAACGCTTCAATATGGAGACTTCATGAGAGGCCCAGTTAGTTTGAAACGAGTATTTAGAAATACTAAATATTTACTGACACTTCTGATAGCAAACCTAAAGTTACATAAAGAGATAACCCTTTTTTTTTTTTGAGGAAAGATATACTAATAGTTCCTAATAGAGAGTATCAATAGTCCTAACAGTTCCGACTAACAGATAGGCCAGAACTGTCAATTTGAGAAAGAAAAGCAGACATTACTTAAATACATGACAAAAGCCCTGTAATCTAGAGGGATGATACTTTGCAGCTTGGAATCTTAACAAGAAATTAAGTTTTAAATTAAGGGAAATGGAAGAAAGATTCTTCTATCAGCTCTTGCTCTCAACTTACCTTTTCTTTAACTTCATCAGAAGCGTAGTGCCCAGCAGCAAGCAAAGCCTGGCCAGACTCATCAGCAGATTTGAAGCTATCTTCATGGGCATCAATTTCTCCCTATGAAAGAGCACATGAAAGCTTCAAGCTATTATCAAAATTTATCTTAGTGTCACAATATAAGAACTGCTATTGAAAGTAACACAGAAACAACAGTCTGGACACCTGAATGATAAACATTCTACTACCTTTAAATACATCACATGAAAACTAGCATTAAATGTATTACCTTACAATGCAGATTAGGTAAGTACAAATTTATATGTTAAAATGAAACTAAAGGCTGGTTTTAAGCTGCACTCTTTCTGCTTACTTGTAGCGATTCCTCCTGATGGAAAACTCAAAAGAGTCGTTAGTCCAACTGACTGCTATCAGGTCAAATTCTCTTTTTCATAAAATATTATCATAAGCATTCTTAAATACTTATTTATTAGTGTATCTCTACTATCAAGAACCAAAGTGAAAATACTAAATCAGGAGAGCAGTCTAATACTGTGTTAATTGCATGATCAAAGGATTCCAGTGATACAACATTGGCAGTTCTGACCCAGTGACTGTGCTGGACATACAAGCCAGTCCTTGAGTGCTGCAGACTGGATTTGGCTGCATAACCACGATACCTTATGTTCCTGATGTCTATCTAGAAGGGCTTCTGCTCCAGCCACGTCATTGGCAAGTTCATCAGCATTTATCAGAGCCTTCATCTCAGTCACCCAGCTGGTGAGGTCTCGGAAGTCCGCAAGAAAGCGCTGCAGCCTTAGGAACACAAAGGGAAAAATGGTTGGGAATAATTTGTTTGCACGGTTCCTCCATCCTTACCCCAAAGAAAGGGCTACAAACATAAAAGATATTCCTCAGAAACAAAACAAGACAATACCAAAATACAATCAGAATATTAAATAACTAAATATGCTCCCAATCAAAAAAAGAAGCCTTTTAAAGTTAGGAAAATGCTTTGTTTGAAAATCAATTTCTCAAAGACGTGTTTTACATATAACTTATATTGAAAGTAGAAGGAATATTCCTAACTACAAGCCTGTCTGTTGAAGACACCAGAAATTAAAAGACAGTTCTCAAGCAGAGAGTTTCAAGAGGGCTCTGTCACAACCACAACACAGCGTGTGTGTGGAAACTGACAGAAAGTTTCAACTGCACATGCCTCAGCCTTAAAACAAGCAAACAGACTCTCAGATTCCTTTCAGCACCCCTTTACAGCTATTGCCTTTGGCACGTGTGTAACACTTATCAGCAGAAATGATCCGTTTCTGTTTCTCTTTTAAATTTGCTGTTAATTGAAATGAAGAGATTATGACAGGGAAGGTAAATGAACAACGATTACTTGTGTGGGTCTCCACCACTATAAATCTTGCATCATGGGAGGGAACAGGAGAAAAACAAAATGAGAAAGAATGTAAACTAACCACCATATTAGGATTAGTTCCATTTTAATATGGCTTCTCAACAGTGATCTAACAGATGACATTCCATATAGTCAGATACTATACTTTAAAATGCAGGTATCAACTCAGATGGGGAAAAAAAGCAAACATCCTAAAACATCAAGGTATCTGTTTTCATAACGGAGCCGCATGCAGAGAAAGATCAAAAGCTGTAAGTATTTATTTATCATATAAACATTTCTTTTACTACAAGATGTTATTGTAAAATATGATTTAGTGAGGAAGACTGCTTCTGGAAACACCAGAATCATCCAAAAATTTTGGAAACAGCATCCCTTTGTTCTCCTCCCAAGAGCCCTGTGTTAAATTTGAATAAGGAAGGTCATTTTGACACGACAGCGTTCCTACCTGTAGGAGTCGTTCAGGCGAGCGTGCCGCTCTGCTGCCAGCGTTCGGATCTGTTCCCAGTTGGCAATCAGCTCCTCCCGCTTCACTTGAATTTGAGAAGCGTTTATGGGGTGAGACTGCTGCAAACGGTCAGCTTCTGCACACAGGGCCTTAACCTAAACCCAGGCACAAACAGTGAATAAGCTTCTAGCCTTTTACAAGCAGGTTACCTCATTTAAATTGTAAGCAAAACGCATCTCATACCTTATCTTCCAGGGCTGCAAGATCTCTTTCCAGACCTTCATGCTTACGCAATAAAGCCTGCACACTGGCTAAGTCTCTGCCAAAATCATCGGAGGCCATCAACTGCCCTTTCTCCTTAATCCAGCTGATTGTTTCATCCACATCCCTTCAAAACAAAGCACAAATTGAAAGCACTCTATTTTATTTGGAAAAGGGAAGAGAGCAGGATGTTTTCCTGTATGTATGCCAGACATACTGGCATATAAACCCGGATACATATATAAACACTGTAGCCAACTACAATCATCCCTTAAAAACAAACAAACAAAAGCAAAACCAAAGAAAAAATGAAACCCCAAACGACACAAACAAACAAAACCTCCCAAACCCCTAAAAATTTAGGGTCTTTTTTTTTTAAATCTCAAAAAGCCTTGAAGCATATTGGCAGGCCATTCTTCAGATGGTGTCACCAGATGCGAATGAGTTACAGCATCACTGAGCACCATCTCCTAACAGGTTCATTTTCCACTCTGGACCCCTCTCTGACTTAATTACAGCAAATCTCAAAATGCTGTAGATAGAAATGAAGATAGAAAGACACTGCTTAAAGACCTCTGGAACGTTTGGACTGACATCCATTTGGCAACAAACAACCCTTTTAAGGCTCATCTAGGACATGACTGAGGGGAAAAGCCCTCAGAGAAGCAAAGCTGCCATTAGCAAGAATGAACAAAACTGGCAAGTGTTGAAAAGCTAAAGCAGAATGAGTATTCTAAGGTCATTCCAGAACAAGGTCCTCATTCAACAAGTCAAAAGGAACTGTAAAGCAAAAACGTAACAGACAACAGTAGCTCTTCTCATGGTACTGTATGTGGCTGAATGCATCATTAAACATCCACACAAATATTACATCACTTCAGCAGATCCAGCCAAGGTCGTACCTGTTGAAGCGCTGAACTTCGGCTGCCCCGAAGAGTTTTCCCTGCCTCTGAAGGGCAAGCCCCTTAAGACGCTGCCAACTTGCATTTACTTCATCCTGTTTGGACTTAATCAGTTCCTCTTCAGGGTGTTGTTCCTAGCGAGCAAAGGAAAAATTCTATTTTCATACGTTCTGTGGCTTTACATTCATTGACAAAACCTCGAAACACTGCTGCTTTTCCAGAGATCAATTTACAGTAACTGTACTTTCCAGATGATCACCCAATTTGATTGTTTTCCTGAAACCTCACTGTATGAACATTCAATACTCCTGCAGTAGTTTAAGTTTCCCTATGTGCTGATTAGTCAACGGGAAGAGGGCTGTAAACAGAATCTTTTTTCTCTTAGAATGCAATACTTCCTGCCCTATCTCAATCCTAGATCAAGCCCCAGGTGACATACCAGAAGAGAAGATACATTAATCCTGGTTGTCCAAGGGAAATATAACAATTTCTCTCACTAATCACTACTCCCCACATTCTCAGGAACATTCTCAGCTGGGGTAGTTACTCAAGCTGTTCAGCAGAAGAACAAGGGAATCAAATGATGACTATTCAAAATTAAGATAGCCAAGGATCTAGGCACAGGTAAAGATTAAAGATCTGCTACCAAATTAGGAGGAAAAGAGGAAGCTGCAGACAGAAGTTTGCTGTGTTATAGCAGACGTGCCAACAGAGATTTTTCACCACACATGAATGTTTACCTGGATAAGTTTGCCAGCAAACTGGTTCACTTCATTTACTCTCTCTTCATGAGCTGCAAGGTCTGTCTGGAACTCTTCAAACTTCTTTTGCAAAACTTCAACATGCTCTAAGTCCTGCCCAAGTTCTTCTGAGGTCACTATTGCTTCCTAACACATTGAGGAAAAAAAAAGTCAATTTCAGTATAACCGATGGGAAATCACGACTAAAAATAGGAAGCAAAGTGTCCTGATTTTTAACAGGTCAAAGACAGTTACAATCACTGTGTTCAAAGTCAGATTTGAAACTAGAAAGTTTCCTCCATTAAACTCCACCTTCCCCCACCCCCAACATCTTTTCATTATTGCAGAAAACATGCAAGATCACTAAGGGAATTAATTTTTCATCTTGCTTGCTCTCATTAATTTTTCAAGTTATTGAATGTAACCAGTTCTGCTATCTTAAGTTTTCTGCTCTGTGCACGATAACCACTATTACAACAACCTAAATTACTGAAAGAAAATATGCACGGAAAACCTCATACTTTTAAAATTACAAAATAATTGCCCATGCTGTTTTGGAGTACACACAGTGACTACAACTTGTTTACGTTTTTAGGTTGTGGGCATTTGCTGTTGGCTTCTGATGCAAGATTTCTTTATGAGAAGCACACTGTCACATTCAGGAACAGTTATGCAGGGTTTACAGTTGGAACCCACAGTGACACAAAATAGCAAACCATCATTAAGAAAACCCCTAAGATCGTTTTGTGGCTTTTTTTTCTTGATAGTGTGGTTTGTGGTCTGTTTCCTCGGAGTTCAAAGAATCAAGAGCCAACAGTTCTCTTGCAGCAAATGTCCTTACTATGTATATCTGATGATATTCCAATCATTAAGTAATTACGTAATTACTTGCAATTACTAATAACCACTGCTTGCTGGTTAGCCGGCTATTTCTATAACAGATCATTTAGAGCATTTATAAAAAAACATTTGCTTTTACATGTTGTAGATTTCCCTTACAGGAATTTGATTACTGTGAGAAATACAAAGGTCTCCTCAAAGCAAAGAAAGAATTGATTATGTTTAACTGCGCTCTCCAACATGCAGGCTTCCTCCCTTAGCCTACTACCTTTAGTAGGAATAGTTCTTTGCATACCTACTGCTTATACAATATGAATAATCTAAATATAATGTACAGGTGCCTTTAAAAGCTCTCTGTGATCACCTGAACTCACCTAACTGTCGGCTGATAGAAAATTTCCATACAAACACATCAAATTTCCCATCAAATAAAGGCAGGTAATAATATACCTTGTCATTGATCCAGTCCAAGACATCTTCACATTCCCGTAAGTATTGCACCAGCTTCTGAGCTTGCAACAATTTGACTCCCTTCTCCCTCATCTTCTCCAAGAGTAATTCCCATAGTCGGTGCAGCTCCTGCAGCCGAGTCTAAAACAATAGGGTGTTGTTAGTAAAATCCTGTACCAGAGATGAGATTTATTCCTTTCTTAACCATAACAGGAGATTTTTTTTCCCCAAAGATATATATCCTAAACCGTAATTTAGACAAAGGGTGAACAAAACTCATTACAATTTCATCTCCAGATTTTCAAATTATGTAAAATGATGTAATAACACAAAATTAGAAATTACTGAACTATTTACACACTTGTTATTAATTAATGAAGCTATCAAATAGTTATGCTTACATAACTTTGAGGTAAACATTTTGAGATAAAATTTGATTTAAATTCGATGCTAGTGTAAAGTCAGACCAAAAATCTATTGCTATTCTCTTCAAATGTTCAGTCTTTTACATGGAAGTCAACTTGCAATAAGTGAATCTAGTCGTCATTTTGGGATTGATTCTTATTTAAGACCATGGATTTTTTTCTCAAGTCAAACTTGTGCCACTTTACAGTACTTTACCTACTTCTCTTAGCACTAGCCAGTTAATATATTTATCCAACATTGTTAAGTAACATAATACTGAAATACTAGGAGTAATTACTGGTTTTAATATTGAGTCTCTCTCTGGTTGCACTTTGCCTTTCCAAACTGTTGGGAGCAACCATAAATTTTATAGACAATTAAAAGAAAAACCACACTCCCACACAGAAACACAACTTGCAAAACAGGAAAGTATCTGCTCCACCCATCATCTATAACGCTTTGCTCATCGAGATCTGAAACTTGAAAGTCACGCTAGAGAAGCTTTTGAACATCCAGCATGGGTGGATACCCAGGTAATCCCTTTAGAAAGTTCAGGCAGGGAGGTTTCAAGGGAGGAAAGGGCTCACACAACTCCATTTCCCAGCACTGCCCAAAAGGATAGCGCAAAATTGTCAATCCAGGAAGAAAGAAGATGTTGCAAAGAGAAGCTGCACCACACAGCCAGAAGTTTCACCTACTCGTATGTGGGACCCCACTTGGGTAGCCGTGACTATTGGGCGCTGTGCAGTCCGGTACGGCGTGAAAGACTGAACCAGTAAAAGGCAAATTACCACTCCAAAAAGGCAAATTACCACTCCAAACAGAACACAAACAGCAACTCACATCGAGCAGTATTATTTAAGATCACTCGACTACAAAGCATTTTTTCCTCCTATTTGTGGTAAAGATTATACGATCACAATGAGATTTCTAAAATTATCACTTCCTTGGGGTTTTAATGTAAAAAGAAAAATATTCTGCTTTTCTTAGTCACAATGAAATAATTAACATATTGCTTAAGTGTGATAATCACTACAACACTATTACAAGAGTTCTCCTTTTGCCCAGAATTAGTGATTTCACTAATCAAACACTTGTAGAATGCAGCAGATCTAACAAAGTGAGTCCTAGAGAACAAAACCAAATGTTTACTGGTGGGACATGTGCATGTATGCCTGTGGAAATGAGACAGAAAAACACTAACACAACTAGAGAAAAATGAGAACACATAGGAGGAGTAGTAAAAGAAAACTCTCAAGGTTAAAAATTTAGTTTGCTCAGATTTTTGAAAACACTGATAAACACTCATATACTGTCAAATGTAAAACAATCTAGTGCAGCAGCAAAGATTTTAAAAATACAGTTGTCATTGAATTACACAGGTTGGGAGATTTAGAGAGAAAGAAAAAATCAACAGTAGATCCCGGAAAAGGATCTGAAGAAAGCTCACTGCTTGTTATCGAGGAAGCAGCTGTTGTAAGAGATGTTCACTGCTGGATAAACACAATAGACAGAGCGCTGTATTTAGAGCTCACAGAAAAAGTCATGGAATACAAATTCAAAGAGATTCAAATGTACGGCCAGTACAACTTAACCAGAGAGTAAAGATCACTAGAGACCTGATCTGAGCCAGAGCACACAGAAATTAAATGTCTGAGGTTTACTGGTACGGTTGCTTGTGTTACTTATAATTATTATTGCAGAAAATTAAAATGCTAAATACAAGAAATAAAAACAAGAAAGAGTGGTCAACATCCCTGACACCAGCTCTTGTGAATTTGCTGCTTCTTGATATCGCATCATTGACAGGAGAACCACAAGTATAATTAATCATTTGCCTTGTGACTTTCAAAACATCTTTGAATTACTGATGATTTTCCAGTCCAAGTTTCTGGACTCCACTGGCAGACAGTTCATCTCAGAACTGGATCCAAGAAAAGATAAGAGCCGGGCGCTCATGAATCTAAGCTTCACAAATACAAATTCTCGAGTGATTTCACTAATCAAACACTTGTAGAATTTTAAAAGGTGTTTTAGAATATAGAGTTATCCATGCAATCTGCGCAAAGTGTTTAAGGAAAATTCTGTTAAGAGGAAAAAACCAAAACTCACTCTTATGGTTTCAGATGCAAAATGGCTTTCATTAATCATCTGATTTCCAGTCTCATCCAGTTTAATGATGGCCCCTGAATTGGCCTGCACCTCAGCTTCAAAGGCTTGGTGCTTCTGCAGCTTCCCCTGCAAGTAAAACATCAAAGAACGTAACTGAGATTTGGTGCACAGCCTTCCTTTCCCAGCATCAAGATTTTTAGTGTATTTTATGCATACTCAATAGTGACAAACAAACAATAAAACAGAACACTTGAAATATCAAACATCTCCATTTTAGTTATTTCATTATTAGCACACTTGAAATAACAGCTGTATCATATGTTTCATGGGTGGATTCAAACATCTCCATTTTAGTTATTTCATTATTGTGTTTGCTCTTGTACACTGGAGTATTCAAACATCTGAGAACCCATCAGCTAGTTCCACCCACATAGGTTAATTTTCTAAAAATATATTTTTTTCGTGGAAGCAATGAGTTAATTGGCATATATTTACATAGCCAGTGTCCAACAAATTCTAGGATTAAACAAAGCTGTTTTTACGCAACATTGTGCTGAGTAACTTTTTCTGTGCTGATTAAGCATCTAATCCATTATTAGAAATATTCCAATTATATCAGCAAAAACCCCAGGCTTTTGAAGAACACTTTGCAAGGCTCTGGGTATTTGCATCAATCTTTCTTCACCACTCTCAGCTCAAGTTACATTTCTGAGTTTGTTCTGTCTATCCCAGTTGACCTGGTACGCCCGAATATTAATAGTACAGGAACATAAAATGGCAGCAGGACTTGCCTGTAAATTGCTTGGGTCTTTGTAATTTTCATCAGATGCTATCTGCAGTTTCTCTTGGATCCATTTTTCAAGCTCATCTGCATCACGCTGGAAAAACTGGAATCGATAGGAATCTTCAAGTTTTTGGCGCCTTAGAGAAGATAGTTCCTTGAACCTGTGGTAACGGTCCAAAACTTGTTGACGCCTTTCTTGGATATCTTCTGCCGTTTCCAACACTTTTACACCGCTCGGATCCATTTTCTGAAAGCCAAAGTAAATACATATTGTTTGTATTATAAAACAATGGTAGGGTAGGAGGGGATCCACGAAAGAAAAACCTGCTTTTTTAAACTTGCATGTGGTTTACTTACAGTCTTACTCTGTGTGTGTGCAGGTATGTATATAAAATATAAACATTACACAGACATGTGCATTTCTTTCTTTATATAACAGAAAACAATGGGAAAGGAATATTTACAAAGACATTTAACATCTACTTGTTTTGGAAAGATACAGCTGCAGTCATATAAAGGCCAAGTCATCTAGAACTGTAGCATGCAAGTGTCTAATACAAATGTTAAAAATGTGTTTCTGTGCATATATATACATATATTCAGATATATAGACATAAAATGTTTCCTGTACCACATATAAAATCTGGAAACATTTTATTTAAAATACTCAAAACTGATAAACTAAAGTAGGACTATTACTATTCTTTAAACAACAGCTACCCGGTCCACATAAGTATGCATGTCTACATACTGCTATGTATTAGATATAGATACACAGGTACATTTCTGTCTGTGCTATGCATCTCCTCATTGTTCTCTCAGACAATTAAAAAAAAGTTACAACTGCACCCTGCCACTCCCTACATAACCTTTCAAAAGCCCATACAAGGCTCACGCTGCGTCAGTTTTGACCTTAGTCAAGGCAGTGAAGGAGCACTTCGTGTAACTGCTGATCCTTCTCTCAACCACTTCGACTGAAAATCCCAGCAAAGAACTGAGTACAGCTCTGCTTTATCTCCTTTCTATTAAAATTGGGATAACCCTGACTTTTCAGCTCCTAAACCTTCGTAAAGCAATTTGATTTTCAGTAAGAAATCTGTGCATTAGAACAGAACTGCAACACAAATTTAAAAAGTAGTATCATTATTGTCATCGGAGTTTGGATATTTACTCATTTATTTGACAGTTCACTCTGCACATCAAGAAGCTGTTGCAACAAACACTCTATGCTTGAACAATTATGCAATTAATGTCTTGATGTACAAGTGTTTACACGTATAGCTCAGTAAGTGCTTTCATTATAAATTCTGTAAGCATCAAACTAAATGCACTTCCCATTAATCCTATCAAAGATAGGGAAGAAACCCAGTCTACAACTGCATACTAAAAGACATGGGCAATCTCTTAAAATACGTTGTTAAATATTAAATTGTTATTTAGTCACTGGTTAGCCGCATGCTTTAATTAGCCACGTATCTTGCATAATTGTATGAAAACCTCCACAGGTTGCAAAGCGATCTATATGGCCGTGTTTTCTGTTTGGTTTCCAAGCACTTGTAAAGGGAGCATCTGATAGAAAGGAACATATGGGGGCGAATTCACACATTCCCGAGCTCTCTTCCAACAGTCCCACCCTGCGGGAGCGCAGCCGTTCCAGCAGCAGTTGTTACTCCCGTGAACTCTGAGCCCCAACTGCATTGCGGCACTTTAAGGAAGGAAAGAAAATTCAGCTTTGCTTTCTCTTCCAGGCCTTCATTACTGTCAAAAGAGGGCAAGGAAAAAAAAAGAAATAAAGCACAGCCAGGCTGTATTATATAAATGAAGTCCAGGTTTCATCTGGCAGTGGTACCAAAGGCTCCACTTGATTAGTGTATCCAAGTATTAGAAGATCAAAACCCCGAACACAACTTGAGCTCAACTACAAATCTGTTTTCCTGAGGAAGCGGCTGTTTTTTTCAAGCCCTGTTTCAAACAGCCTTTTCCCTCCAGGAGAGCAAGTTATTGCTAAAAACGTCCCTTCCCGAGCTGTCACGCTGCGTTTGAATTCCAACAACACTTTTTTTAAACTGAATTGTTTTCAGGAATAACAAAGTGGTGGTTGGTCTAAATGCACTGCATGGCTGTAGCCTGTCTCTCTGCTTATTCTGGTTGTGGGCACTACTGGAAAAAAGGAAATCCTAACTGGTCTTTGGAACACTGGACAGTCTTAAATTTCAGCATTAGAAATAAACTCCACAGCCCAACTGATTTTAAATAACTTTAAATTATTATTAAAATAATTAAATTATTTAACATTAAAAAAACCCCAACAACAAAACAGCAGATAGGAGACCTCCTGTAATTTAGCCTCGGTAGCTGCTTTGCCTCTCACCACCCAAGTCATGCAATCTGGCTCATCTTTTTGCTGGAATTCGTTAAAAGAAAGGCTCCTTTTATAGCTACAGTAAGTCGAGCTAGTCAATTGTAAAAGAAGTGCTTTGGTCTAGCAATAATAGACTGTTCTTTCCTGCAGCGGATCAGCTGACGTCAGCAAGTCTGCGCTCTGCCAGAGCACCATCAGCAGTCACCAGGGAGCTGGGAGCTCAAAAGTCATCGATGCTGCAGGATGATGCAGCCACCTCCGACGGCCTCACGCTCCGGCCGTGGTACCTCTTGGAATACGAAGCAGCTCTCCCAGACGCTTCGAAACCCTCTCGGTTCAACTACACGACTGGAAGGCAGCTGGGATACATCCCGGGAGAGGGAAGAGCCAACAAGAAGTTGCGCTTTGTGTTTTTTTTAACGTGAAAAACATAGGTTATATTGGTTTTTATGCAAATACACTGATAACGGCCTCGTCCCCAGCCCCATGCACCTCTCTGCTGCCTCCAGTCCCTCCCAGCGCTGTCTGTGCCGGCTGATAAGGTCGGGCAGAGCGAAGCTTCCAGGCAATGCTGGCAGAGGGAACGACACCGGCCCACGGCCTCAGCCTTCCTGACAGCCCCAGCAGGCGTCATCGCCAACACGGCCCCAAAACAGCAGGTTTTAGCATTCCTGAAGGCGTCCGCCACCGTACTTTGGGGCTGTAACTTCAAAAAGCCACTTGTCAGTTTATGCCTAACTAAAAAAATAACCAGAAATGCTGCTTCAAAATGTACCACTGTGGTGGTATTTAAAAAAAAAAAAAAGCCAACAAAAAGAAGACGTAAATTTAAGACAAAAATACCCCAAAACAAAATCATTACTCTCGTCCTTCAATATAAAACAACCAGCCTTCCCCAGACAATATGAATTACACAAAGGGTACACTAAAATTTGCATGGGAATATCCAACTGCAGATATTTACAGACACCGCAGTGCAACAGCGATGATGTCAGCAACATCATTCAAGTTCAGGAAACAGCGGTATCGAGGTGGGTTAAGCAGGAATTACAGCGCTGCCACCGGGGCAGACACACAGAAGAGCTGTCAGCGTTTCCCTTAACAAAACACGTTTTCTGGAATTTAAAAAACTCAAATGGAAAACACACCCAGCACCAGACAGAAAATTTTAACGTATTTTTAAGAACTAAATGAAGCTTAAAGAATTAAACTACTTTGCCTGAAAACCAATCAGATATCAGGATATAAAGATCACTATCTCAAGATGTAGTAAAATAATGACTTTCTCTTATGTCCTGATGTGTGTTACATATATTCACCATACGTGACCCCAGTAACAGCCTGTAGGACAAGTACTTTCCCTGTCAGAACACTCCCTGCTTCCCACCTTGATGCATTTTTTTGCATTCATCAATATTACCCATCCGAAGCCTTGCCAAAAGAGCATTTAACTGGTATCGTCTGCTCCCTCCTGGGGAACGGGAATGGATTGCTGATCTTTTTTTCTTTAAGCAAAAAAAAAAAAATTGTATTGTGATATTGGAGGTGAAAATAACCTTCAAATGAAAGGACACGGGAAAAAAAAAACAACGTACACTTTTCTGACTTCTATTTCTTCCGTTCACAGCTTCCTCAAAAGGCTGGGGAAGAAGTAAGCCACTGCCTATGTCTCAAACACAAAACCATGACTGCCCAGTTTAGAGCTAAGTTAGGAGGTGCGAGCACTGCAGGCAAATAAAAGAGAATCCTTCGAAAAACTATGCACAGCCCTGGCTCCTGGGAAGGGAACTGCACGAGCATATTGTGTTACAAAGAAGTAATGGAAAGATGTCATATCACATACCCTATACTGGAGACTTAAAACACTGCTGAGACAAAATTAATGCCCAGTCATCTGGTTTGTTATGAATTTAAATCGACAAAATAAAGAAATATTAAGGGTGGACTATGTGCAGCAGAACCCTGCGTCCAAATCCTCCTGGTTTCTGCTAAGGAAGGTCACCTACAGCCTCAAACCTCTACAGATTCCAAGCCAGAAAAAGCAGTGAAGTGCTGCAGCACACAAAGCCAAGATGTGCTGAAGTCGCTGCTTAATGCCGTAGTCTCACACAGACTAACCGCAGCGCAGGTGAAATTCAAATGAGCCCCAAATTTTAGTAGGTATTACAGGGACACAAGAAACTGTAGCATTAAAAGAAAAAAGAAAGGTAAATTGGTTGAACCAAAGCAGGCTGCCAAGCTAGTGATTTAGGCTGATTAGAGGGTTTGTGCACAGCATTAACTATGCACTTTTGAAATACAGAAGACGATTAAAGACCTGCTCACTTTTAGGCATTTAGTCTTAAAATTTTAATTCCATTATTCAAATGAGAGCAGCTGAATTGCCAATCTGAAGCTGCTGGCTTTATGTACAAGGGGTTTCCTGGCTTTGTTTCATTTTTAATATCACCACAGACCTTTGATGAAACTATGCAGCTCTGGCAAGGGCTGCGCTCTGCCGAGACTCCTGAGAAAGCAAATTACCTTGACTGCATTGCAGAAATGCAGAGTTTACAGGTAATGGGATATTATATAATTAATCCCAGCATTTTCCATTCTCATTTGCTATCTTTTCATTGCAATTTTAATTGTAGTATAAACATCACTCTCATTTCCAAATGAAATCTAGTTGCTTGTGTTATCTAGTTGAAATTTGATCCATACATCCTATTTATTTTACCATTACCAAATGAAAAACCCCACAGATGTATAAACAGTTACACCACAACCATACAAGGGTTATAAATTTGTGCAAGTGGATGGAACAGCACCCAAAGCCCACTTCAAATGCATAGTGTTCTATGGTGCAAATCTTACCACGGTTGATTTTTAGATGCTATAAGTAAAAACATACTGCTAAAGTACGTTTTAAAACAAAACTCTCTTAGAAAATTAATCCACATGAAAACCCAATGATACTATAAAATGCTCACACATCATGCATCACAAACAGAAATTAGGAAATTCAAGGTATTAAAGGAAAGGAAGATCAGACTCAACACTCAAGTACAAACAAAGCACCTGCTACATAGAACAAACTCTCAAATAAATGGCTTTTTGTTACAAATAGGTCATTGCAATAAAGGCAGGCAAGTATGGTGATGACACTTCATGCAGTACGTAAAAATACCTGGACTTTGAGTTTACGAAACGATGACAACATGATGGAGGAATGTAGAGTCTAAAAGGGAGGGGGAAATCAAGATAACATTCAACTAATGACTAGCATAAGGACATGGCTTCATTTTTTTTTTTGTAGATAGATATTCCATCACAGCACACGTTTCATACTTTCCTTTTGGTTCCTTGCCACATACAACAATTTGACATTATTGTTACGCAAGCTACTGCGAGCAACAGACCTCCCCATGCAAAAAAAGATTACAAATATCAACAGGAAAACTTAATTTGGCATGTATTAACCTTTCCAATTAGTCTAAAAAAATACATGTTACCATAACCTGAAGGTCAAAACAGAAAGAAAGTTATCTGGATTTGGCAAATGACACTTCCTGCTACAGCGTAATCAAATGGCATTACTTAATTTAAAGACACAAACTCAATAAGGTTTTGAATGTAATTATTTACAAAGATCTTTACTTTCAATTACCACAGTAAAAAAAAAAACCAGACGTGTAGCAGTTGTGACAGACGGTATTTTCTGAGATGGCTAATTATGCATCTGTTAAGTGTATCTAACCCACTGAATTTTTAACCGAAAATTTCCTCGCCTCCCCTAAGGCTACGTTTCCCCCACGAGCACGCTGCAATCCCTGAAGCCCTTCATGGACAACTGCAGTCCTGTGCCTTTGTGCCTGCTGAAGGCAGTGCATATCTCTCGTGGCATTTGCATAGCTCCACACGTATCGGTTGCAGCAGCGAGGAGGCAGCTTGGCCACTCCATTCGATCCCCAGTCAGCTCCGGGAGCACAATGCCGGACTACGCTTGGCAACCTCCATCCACAGCATCTGCAGTCTGCTCCACCCCATTTTTCTACTGCCTACACTCCAGGGACAAATGGGAAAAACAAACTCCTACACTATCTTAACATGCAGCAGAAAAAAAAAAAAAAAAGGAGGAATTCATATTATTTCCTCCAATACCGGGGAAGCAATTAATTGCCCCTCAAAAGTAACATATTTATGAATAAAACAATTACAACCCCATAAATACAATAAGCAGATAAAAATACGGGAGCAAAGATACTAAGTTATTTGCATTACATTACTAAGGTTAGTTATAAATGTAACAGTTGAGAAATAGGAATTTCACAGCAAGAGGTACCACCCTGCCTCAAGAGATTGGAGGCTGCTCCTATCTGTCTGCCAAGCAGGAGAAAAATATGTAAAAAAACACATAAAAGACAGTCTTTGACATTCAGCCTTTTTTTGTTATTAAAAAAGCCCAACCACAAATACGTTTGCTAACTTCATCAACTATGGATCTCATAGAGCATAATATCTAAATCTGATTTTAAAATAAAATTTCTATTTCCATCTGACCAGTACGGATGCTTTATTTTTTTCAATAGCAATAGAAATAAATTGCTTCTTGTGAACAATGCAACCTGTTATCTCGGTTCAAGTCTTTTCCACAGCTTAACAATTTAATTACTACAGCTACAGATCCAGCACACAATGCAGCAGAAAATGTACCATTTTCAATCTTCTGTTGATTGTTTTTCTCTGCAAAATAAGTAAGGCCAAATGAAGATTTCATGGAAGAACTCATTGCTAGTTGCATTTAAATGCACAGAAATCACAAGGTGGGATTTAGTATTTGTTTGGAACAAATCTGAATCCCTGACCAAGGCCTTTCAGTGAATACAATCATCAGAATCTTCTGGCACTTTGCTGAAAACAAAATCCCAAAAGAAAATGGATTTTTTTTTCCCCAGAAATAAACAGAACCATTTCAGGCCCAGCTAGGGTTTTTTGGCTGCTTTTTTCCCCCCCGCTAATGTGTTCATTCGCCATCTCCAGACAACTGCTCTTAAGAACCTATTTAAATATGTATGAAAGACTGCTCAATAGTCACGTACATTTTAGACTGGAACACATCGCTGTTTTATGACAAAATAGCTACTAAAAATCCTGAACAGTCAGCACATACCTGCCGAGAAAAATGTAGCGATAAATGCTTACGCTTTTCCTTAAATGTCAGGGCAGATTGTACCCGATTGGTACATATTTATGATCTAGCAATATAGATTTATGTCACTGTGACTAGATAAGGTGTATACGGGAAATGATTTGAGAAAAACTTGACTGTCATTACTGTGATTTATGTGAAATTAGGAAAAAAAAAAAAAAAAAAAGATTAATCAGGGGAGGAACAAATCCTGATTCTTTTACAAAGGAAACCGTAGTGCTTGACCTATATACTCAAATGACACATATGTGAAATGAACACAGGTTGGGAGGATTTCTTGTAAATATCTTCCTGCTTGGCTGGACAACTCTGCTGTGTGGGCTATTGACGAGATGGTCCTTTCACACGGCTGCCTGTCTCCGGGAGGAAGGGGCTCTCCAGCCATCACCGAGCACCCAGCCCCTCCATCGCTGCCTTTTCTCCTCTCCCCTCTCACACGCTCTCTTTGCTGCATCTCCTGACCTTGGACAGGGCTGGGGAGAGCTGAGGGAAGCCATTTCTGGGCCGGGTTACCGCAGAGCGCCGGGTTCCCCGTCTCCCCCCCGGCATTTCATCCCAGGGGGCAGGGGGGCGGCAGGGTTTTACCGCAAACCCCACCGGACAGGGGCGAAGGGAAGGGCGGCCAAGGCGCGGGGGCCCTTCTCTCTGCCCCGCAGGGACGGAGATCCGCTGTCACTATTATTTACTCGCCTCTTTATCCCCTCCCCAGGGCGCTGAATGAAATTCCTACCGCGGGTCTGGACTGCCCAGGGCGGATCCCGTCGCTCCTCGACCGCCTGCCCTTTATCCGCGTCGCGCCCGCGGCTGCTCCCCCGCCCTTCCCTTCCCTCCCCTCCCTTCCTTTCCTCAGAGGGCCGCGGGGAAGGACCCCAGCTCTGCGGCCGCGGCCACCCACGATAACAAACCCCACGGCCGCCGGCGAGGGCGAGCGGTCGCCGAGGGGAGCCGCCTGAGGGAGGGCCCGCCTCAGAGCGGCGGCCTCAGCCTCCCCCGCGGCTGAGGGAAGCGCCCACCCCTACACCTGTCTCCGCGGCGGCGGAAGGCGGAGCGGGCGGGTGGGGTCGTGTGTGTGGGGGGTCTCTATCTACCCGAACGGGGTCGGATGAAGGCGGGCGCGGCTCCCTCCTTCCCTCCCCCCCTCCCGCCCGTCGCCTCACCGGGTCGGTGCGCGAAACTCCCCCGCCGGCTCCGCGCCCTCCGCCACGGACGCCGCGCGCCGCCTGCGCCCGCCTTTTTATAAGGCGGCCCGGAGGTGACGTCAGCGCCGCAGAACGGTTCTGCCGGGCGGCGGAAAGGGCCGAAGGGCTTCGGAGAGAATCGGGAGGGGGAAGGGTAGGGAAGGCCCCACCCACCCGAGCTGCCGGCGCGGCGCATGCGGGGAGGGCCGGAGCGAGCCGAGGAGTTCCGGAAAGCACCGAGCGATTCCGGAAAGAGCCGAGGGCGGGAGCTGGGCACGAAGGGGGACGGTGGAGGCATTATTCCCCCATTAGCGTTCGGCCTTCATGGCCTGACTGGCCTACGGTGACCAGCCACGGACACGAAAAAAAGGCAATATTACATCAGGAATCAGTTAAATTATCCGTGCAGCGTGGCGGCAGCTGGGTTTTCCGCCTCTTTCTCCTCAGCCAGGGTCAGTCTGGGCTCTTGCAGGCCCAAGCTGCTCTGGTGGCAGAGGGGCAGGTTCTACATAAATTTACAATTTAAATAAAGAGGCCAGACTCAAAGCAGCAGCCTCATGAGTTTTACATTATTGAAAATATATACGGTTAAGTCTCTCCTTTTGAAGCACTGTGCAGTGTCACAAGCACAAAGCAGCCTGGCAAGGACAGAGCAGACAAGGCAGCAAGTGCTTGTCAAGAGAGATCTATTTTTGAAAAGCCGATGCATAAATTCAAAGGAAAATGAGCCTTTAGTATAAACTAGATATTTAAAATAGACATGACAAAGAAGTTCTACTCTAATCTTTTTTTTTTTTTTTTAAATAAGGTCTTCTAAGGCAGCAAGAACTTCATGGGATCAAAGCGGTGAGTGGGTTTGAATGATTTTTGAGTTAATAACACTTTTTAACAGAAGTACTTAAATGGAAGAAGCACACTTGCAGTGACATTGCATGGCAGCCCCTGGGACTGCCGGGAACTATTGTCTCCAAGGAAGAGTGTGACTCACAGCAATTTTAATGCATCTCGTCCTGAATGCACAGTATTTTCACATCCCAGATGCTCTCCTTTGGCATGTGCATATTCGTATCAAATATGACAGTACCATGAATACACAAGACCCTACTTGCACTGCATCTTCCTAACGCCAAATGGCTAACCTTTAAAGCTGCTAAAACAATCAAAAAACCAGAGTAACATAATACAAGTTAACCATTGGTTCTACCAGTAGATGCAACCTTAAGCTACATCTAAAAATAAATATTGATTTATTAGGATTCTTTTGAAGTGCACTTCTCATTCAATTAGAAAACCTTGTTAGAGTTTTTGAAATAGTATGTAAGTATATGGATACCCTTTACTGACGCAGAAAAGGACACCGTGTTTGTTATTTATAAGAATATATACTTGTATTCCCCCTACAAATATTAGAAAACCCTAGTAACCTGTCCACAAAAGAGAAGAAAGCTATTGTATCTTATATATACATCATCACATCTCTCCTTGTGTTTTGGCACAGGCAGACACTTGTTTCTAACAGACAGTACCAATTACTACCTTGGCAAAGTGACTCTCCAGCATAATTGTAGATACACAAGATGTAATTAAAACATCTCCGCTCAGTATTAAAAAAAAAAAAAACAAAAACCTGAACATTTTCAAGTATACTAACGGGAGTTGTATATTGCTTCAGTGTTTTCTGGTAAAAGGATACTGGAAGGAGATTTCCAGTACCCTAGAACAACCACCAGAATTCCAAGGTCAGTGTACAAAATACATAAACCAAATACAAATTTAACTTATTTACCAGTCACTTTTAAAGCCAAGGTTAAAGGTTTTAAAGGCCTGAATTCCCAAGTAGATGTTACAACCTGTTCTCAGAAATCTCAAGAGCTACATAAAAATCAAACTCAGCTTCTCATATGGCCTCAACTCACCTTTCTACAGCTTCAAATTGCGATGCCTCTAGGAAATAACAAAAAAAAAGATAAAAATAATAATTTCTAACTTGCAACAGTATATTGCCAAAATAATGCACCACCTTCTAGAACTCAGAAGCAAATTTTCTCATCCTAGAGGCCACCAAAATAGTTCCAGTATGCCATAAATCAGCCAGATCTCCCATGGCTCCCATGCTATCTATCTCCTGTCTTCACCAAGGAGCTGTAGATTTCCTTGACCATCCCGCTTCAATAGAGAAAACAAACTGTGTAAACTTCAAATTACAAAGAAAAAAAATAATCAAACTTTAATATGAATTTAAACAGATTTCTAGAATGAACTATTCTCAGAATAATCCACCATTGGTACAAAAGTATTACAGTACTTGATACATAAAATACCTTGACATTGATAAGGAAAAAATCCATTTACATAAAAATATCTCTTATAAAATGCACCTTAGGTAACCCCCCATTTCCCCCTCAAATGATGGCAAAACACGAGCAAAAGTGCTACAATGAATGCACCATTTTGCCACCTTTTTTTTTTTCCTTTTAAATAAAAAAATGGACTATTAGCTTCCATCCATCTGATGGATAACAGATGCAGAAATTCTGCAGTTTCAGGAACTCTGCTCTTCTCCCATGAAGTTACTATCACCCGTGCAAACCTTTTGAAGCAGTGAGTCTCTCTCTCTCTTAAATCGAGAGTCCTGCCTCTTGGAGCAAAGTTACATTCAACAGAGAGAAGCGCCACCAGCACTTGGCCAAACGCCTTCATCAGTCTCCCTGTAGTCTTAAGATGTCAAGGCAAACAGGATGCAAGTACATCAGCATAATTAAAATTGAATTATAAAAGACGGATGCAATAAATACAAAAATAAGGTTCTAGAAGTAAATTTCTGAGATTGGTTACTTTGTTAAGACTTCGTAAAGCCATGAGGTATTTTCACTTCCATGAACAGAACAGCACGGTGCAAATTTTCAGCCCAAGAGTCTTTAATCTCTGAAGCCCAGAGCTCATCAGGATATTTTATGTACAACATCTTCCACATGTGTGATCATATGAAGGAAGAGTCCTTGATTTTCCATAATTTACTATACAAAAACTTGTAAAAATCCAAAGAATTGCTTCCAATTATTTGCAACAAATTAAACACAAGTTTGTTCTGCCCAACATAAATTGTGATGAATAAAACATTAACAGGCTGATGGAATATTTTCTCCTGATTCCTCTATTTACAGAATACATTTATTTTGCCTTTACATATAAACAGGAAGCCAGGTCTGAAAGCACCGACATCCAGGGGGAAAGAAATCTGAACTGATCTATGATCTCCAAAAGGAAGGCTGCAGAGAGCCCTTTGGTAGTGGAATTTCCTTCTTCTGTAGACATTTCTAAACAAAGAACAAAGAAAAAATATCTTAATTTGTCATCTCTTCTCAGGAATTACGATGGCTCTTACTGCACCCATTCAAAGCATTGCTAATAAAATGTACCAAAATTAATTCTGAAATGAAAGTACAAACTCTGAAGGGATCATATTTTAATATCATAATCTAACTCAACATTCACAAAAGAATTTAATCAAGTATTTTACAGTTTTGCAAGCCTTTTTAAAAAAATGATGCAGGATACAATGCTAAACAAGCCCTACATAAAGCATCTGCTTCCCGGTGTGTCTAATTGGGACAGCAGATAAAAAACAAGCAAATCACTGATAAAAAAAAAGCTGTTACAGAAATGACTCAGCAGAATTCTCCTCAACCTGCACATCTTCTCTCACTGGACTTCATTTATAATCAAAATACACGCTCACTGAGAAAAACTTAGATGTGAGGCAAGAAAGAAGCGAGGTGCTTGACATCCTAACTATCATTAAGGTAATTCAGTAACTGAGAAGTTACAAAAGATGGGTTACACCACAATGACAGGTCTGGACTCTCAGGTTTGCTGTGAGCAGCACCAGCCTCATTAGCGAAATGATGCATGTATCAAATGAAGGGAGAAAACCCAAACCACTTGAAAATTGAAAAAAACCCCATCTTTACCTCCAAGAATTGCTTGAAACGCATTAAAGAGCCCATCTGTCCAGAGCTGGTAATTGCTTCAATCCTGCAGAAATAACAGCATGTTTCAAAATCTACTTAGAAAGTTGGGTTTGATTTACGAGGGGGTGGAGGAGTGAATGGATGGACGAGTCATTCAAGCGCAAACACTCACGAAGTGAACACCAAGGATTATTTCCCATTCCTAATCACAGATCTCGTACCTTGGGATATAGTCTTCTTGGATAAGCAACATCATTTTCCAGAACTGAACGTGATACTGTTTCATGAGCGCGTTGCCGCACACCTACAGTACAGAAATCCACAAAGAGCAGGTTATGGAACTGGGTTTCAGGCTGGACACGACAATTTCAATGAACCTGTTCATATCAACCACTTAATATTTTATGCAGACATTTAAAGAAATATATCTACACCTACAATAAAAGAAGCAAATCCTCTAAATGCTATTACTGGTTCTGTTATCACTTTTTTTCTTGTTGACTGCGTGGTGGCCACTGACTGTTATTCTTCCTCTCCCGCCAGAAATAATAACTTTCCCTAATACCATTTAATGGGGCACATTGTGGGCACTTCCCCACCTTCATAACTGCAGTGTGGATTCATCAGCTTTTGTCACAGCCAGTTTACAGGGTGAATGTCCCTCAAACTTTACCACCACTAACAGAATCCCCACAGTGTGTTTCACTTTGCACTTTCTCATTTCTACTTTTAAAGTTCTTTGGAAGGCATTTGATAAGCACAGAAGCTGCTTGGGGTCATTTCTACTTTTAAAGTAGGCATTTGATAAGCACAGAAGCTGCTTGGGTTCAATAGCATGTGTCTCCCCTGACTTCAGCCTTTAACTTTTACTAAATCTCAGGCCTATATCCAAGCATATAGGATTAATATACATCAGGCTCTGTCTTTTTCAACCTGAAAATCCTATTTTCTGAACAAATTCAGCTGGAAAGGCCACAGGATCTTGTTGCATTGTAAAAACTGATGTCAAGAACTCAGACCTTATAGCACCATGCAACTATTTTTACGCTACCAGAAACCTTAAATGTAACCAAATCTTAACAACAGAAGTTGCATGTATGAAAGCTTCAGATTTTAAATCATTCAGCTCCAAAGCTGTATTTGCACGAATATGGAAACATTTACATTCCTTTCTGACGGAATAAGGACAAGTTAAAAAAAAAACAAAACTGCTGTTAAAATCACTATGAACCTCAGCAATCCCTTTAGAAACTAAAACATTACCAATTCAAGATCACTTTAGCTACCAGTAACCCACATCGCTTACCTCCAGAAAATCGAGCAGCACCGTCGCCGTCACATCAGCCAGAGGCTCCATATTCAACATCTGCGCAAGCCAGCGCCACCCATAGTTCAGCCCATGAGGATGTGGCTAGAAAGCAACAAAAAAGCTACTCACCACTTAAGTCTTGCAAAATGCTATTATTAAACTGGCAGTTTTCTGATGTACTTTCTTCTTTATAAAGTTATTTTACAACAGCCAAACGTAAAACTTGATCACTATGAAACTATGAAGGAAGGAAGTTTGTCTACATGACAAACTACTTTGTGTCCCTTTGTTGACTATGGTTATGACCATCTCCTTTCAAATATATTATGGGCTGGTTTAAGTTCAGCCTTAATTACGAATCAAGTTTGCAATACATACTGTTAGGATAGTAACAAGGTCTTAATTGCAGTTCCACACACACGTACCCCTTGTTTGTTTCCATAAGGCCAGCGGAGTTGAATAATAGCAGCATAAAGACGGATCAGTCCTGACATCCGTTTAAGAAAATGATCTTGCTCTTCCACTTTAGAATCCTTAACCTGATATCCAAGCATCCTAAGCAGGAGAAGACATTCCAGTATTAGTACAACAAAACACATTCAATGAGTCCCTCCCGTTCTCAGTTTACTCTAAGTCAACTGTATTGAGAATAGAGATACCCTAAAACCATGCAAGAATTATTGCCAAGGCTGATCATTACTCACTGGACCATACGTTCCACTATTTTATATCATATAGAATATTTAGGTTTTGTATTGGATATTTCCAACTTAAATCAAACTATGGCTATTGACTGCTCTTTGAGAAGGATGAGGAAGAAGCAGCAGAAAAGCACTTCCAAAGCTGAAGGACACAGCATCCTCCAGGGAAACAGAGTCAGGGGAGCTGCACACTTGTGAGTGAATCTCCAGAGTCTGTGCCAGCACATCACCGTGCCCACATCATCAGAGACATGGAAACGTGGGGTTCACTTAGAAGAACAGAGTCTTCACCCTTGCAGGGTTCATGCTGAAGAAGTACAGTAACAAACTTACCTCTGATACTCTTCCATAGAAGTCCCCTCTTTCAGTGCAGGGTAAAATGGCACAGAATAAGGACACTTTTTATGCAGATGAGCTAAAAAGAGGTCTCCAACTCGAGGGTGTATTTCCCAGATTCCTGAGGCCACCACAGCAATTGGGAAAGCTGCATCATGGTGAGAAGCTACTTCTTCTTCTCCTTGGTTCTGAAAAAGGAGGGGGTGAGGAAAGTCAGTCCCTACGCCTTCAAGCCATTTCTCAGACAAAAAAAAAATTCCTTTTTTGTGTCATTATCTTCTACTAAAGGATGCCAAAATTTCCATGGCTCTATAGCCAAGCCCAGAAAAGCTGATGAAGCCACAGGGGATGACAATAAACTTTGGCTCAGGATAGAAAAAAAAGGGGTTAGTGGATACAGGCAAAAAGTGCAAGGCTGCATGGATGTTTTCACTCCAAACAATCAAACGTTCAGAAATCAGTCGCAGTTTTACTCCATGGGCTAATTTTTGCATCTATTTGTCACAGAAAATGAAAGTTTCAAACACCCCAAATTTAGCAAATAAAGAACAGAGAAAAATATCGCCAACTAGTTTCAAACACCCCAAATTTAGGAAATAAAGAACAGAGAAAAATATCGCCAACTTCAAAAAGCAACTTAAACAGTGACACTTCATTTCTCAGGAAGGTGCTAACTACAGTTTTGTTCTCAGCAGTTGAAGACAAGAGGACAGTGTCCAAAAGAACTTCTTAAAGCACTAGCTACCACCCCAATAAAGAGAACATTTTCTCACCACAAATTTCTCCGCAAGTTTGTAATAAACAAAATCCAGACCCTGTGGATGCTGCGTCACTGATACAGTTCTCCCTCCACTCACAACAGACTTTCCAGAGAGCAGGTTATTGATCTTATCAAATATCTCTCTCAGCTGAGAGCCTGCAAACATATACAGAATGTACGGAGACAGAAGATTAGGAAACAGCAGACAAGTCTTAACCAGACGACATCACAAAAACTGGACCTACACCCTGAAGGGCAAGGCACCTCCAACTGCATGTTTGCTCCATCTGATTAAAGAAACTTAATTGTGATGAAGCAAGATGCCTCTGAGGAAAGCAACAGACCTTCAAAACATAAGCAAACACTGTGCTGCAAAAATCTGGACTGTATGCACACCAGTTTCTGCTATAGGGATAATTAGAGAAACACTGGATACTTGTGTCCTACTAAAAACTTCACAGCAAAAGGCATTTCAGTTGGATTGGGTTCTTAGCATTTTCCTGACCTGCTATTCTTGAGATCTGGCTCACAGGGATCGTAGCTGCTTTCTGCAAGTCTGTTTTTATCTTCTTAACCTGCAGAACAAACAAACAACTTTAAATAAAAACAATTCTAACTTAGCAGCCTCTATTAACAGTTATTAACTCTATTAACTCTGCTCGTGCAAACTGTCATAGTAGTCTACTTCTCTGTAAAGGTGTTTTGGTTTTGTTTTTAATGAAAGCTGTTCTATTTTCCCTAGAAATCAAGGCAATCACTCTTCAGCGTTCATTGTTCATACCTCATTGTTATCTTTGCAGTTGCTGATTCCACTGAAAGAAGCAACACATTGCTCAGCAGCATCTTGAAGCTGCTGGTACCACTGCATGGTACTTTCTTCTGCCTTGACTTGAAGTCCTGATATTAAAAAAAAAATAATCAATAACAGAAGACTAAGACAGACCTAAAACTCTAGTAAACCTTAAGAAAACTTTTTTTTAAAAAAACTGCAAGGAACTAGCAACTGCACGAGTGCTTTTTTCCCCAAGATGGAGTTTAAAAAGTTATGTTCATAAATGAACTACAAGTTTTCAAGCTATACAGGAGGCCTCCTTCTTCAGCTCAGTAGCTTGTATGTGCAGGATATCTGGAATTAACCTACTCTCAAGGAGGAAGCCACTTCAGTGCTCTCTGCTTGTGTGTTTTGTCGCATCATGCACGACCCATCTACACTCCCAAGAAGGCACAATGTTATTCTCTAATATTCCAATATATGGCATGCTGTCTAGGAAGAGCAAGTTTTGCTCTAGTTAATATCGTCAATTTATGCTGCATCAGTTTCATTTCAAAAGTTTGCTGCCAGCTGTCCTATACCCATTTTGCCAGTTGTGCTAAAAGTAAAGGCTTTGAGAAGGTAGGTAGTCACAACAGTAAGATTCCAAAGTACTATTCACCCTAACAGTACAAGAGAAGGATAGGAGGAAAGAAGGAAACTTCCTTCCTGCAAGGAAGGAAAGAAGGAAAATTTAAAAAAGGGGAAAAAAAGCCGCATCACAACAGTAAGACACCAAAGAACTATTCACCCTAACAGTAAAAGAGAAGGATAGGAGGAAAGAAGGAAAATTTTAAAAAGGGGAAAAAAAGCCGTACCAACCTTCAGTCACAACAGTAAGATTCCAAAGTACTATTCACCCTAACAGTACAAGAGAAGGATAGGAGGAAAGAAGGAAACTTCCTTCCTGCAAGGAAGGAAAGAAGGAAAATTTAAAAAAGGGGAAAAAAAGCCGTACCAACCTTCCTTCTGCTGCTTTCCACCTGACTGCTGGGCAGGGGCAGGGGTCTGAGCCTTCACCTGCTCTTTTTTCAGTAACTCTTTCTGCTTCTGCCTCTTTTCCTCTTCATCTCTCCTCCTTTTTTCTTCCACAGCTGCAGCGATTTCTTGCTGCATGCTGGATATCAACCCCCGCATCTCCTGCAGCGCTCGTTCCGTGTTGGCCACATCTACTTGAGTAGGGAAACCTCTCTGTCAAGAAACAGGGGGTAATATCACATCAGTCTTTTGTTCCATTATCTGTGGCCCAATGGCAAGAGCAAGGGGCCTTTGAAGCATTAGCCTTCAGATAACCTGGGAGCCAAATACACATTTTATCCTCTTTGGTGAAAATATCTTTTTCTCCTTTCATTGTACATTAACATTGGTCATAACATTTGTAAATAATGTTAGTCCGTGACTAGATCTCACAAGATCTTGGAACAAAAATTAATAACACACTTTGATAAGTACAGGGGAACCCAATGCAAAGCCTAGACAGCTTCCTCTGCAGAAAGCCAGCTGTGACAAGCTGAAGCAGAAAATTTGCCTTATTATAGTGTTTTATTTTTCAAGGTTTGTATCTCACTTTTACACAGAGAAAAAAAAAAAAACCACTTTAAAGGTAACTCAGTTACTGTAAAAAACCTTATAAGAGAACGTGTTCAGTATTTAACAATTTATGAACCTCTCTGCTTCCATGGTTGTCTCAAAAAGGGGCTTTACAGCATCAATAGTTTACAGTACTCTATATTGAGTCTTTCTCTTGTAGAAATCCTCATACATTTTTATAAGCCATTTTCAAGAGAACAGTTAAAGTGCCATAGAAAAGAATTCTCCTTTTAAATTAGATGCTCAATAGGATGAGTATCTAACAACATTTCTGTGACACCTTATTTAATGGCCTCATAACAAGCTGCCTTTGAAGACAACTACAGGAAGCTTTAGGAAGGAATGACAACCAAAGTTACGCACAACCCTAAAGCCTCTACCTCACTCGTGGTGCGGATGAGTCCTGACACCAGCCCACAGATCTGGTTGCCACGGTTACTGTACACAGAAAGATCAATTCTTGGCAAGTCTTTGTGTCTATAATTGGGATCAATCTGCTGGTTCAGCTGCAGCACTTCCTCCTGGATGGAATAAAGGCGACGCAATCTTTCCTGGCCCTCCTCCTTACGCAAACGCTCCAGCTCTTCCTGACGCTGCCTCTGCTGCTCTGCCTCGCGCAGTTTTAGGTTTAATATCTGGGGAGAAAAAGACAGAAACTACTTAAGTGAGTCCAGCTTTACAGGCCCTTTCTGGTCTGATGGCTCTGGCTTTCCAGATCTCTCCTGCTCCTACAACACATGTACCTTTACTGTGTTTCCATAACAATGCAGTAGGTGTCTACAACAGCACCAGAAAATACATTCTCACCCCAGGAGTGCCATGCAAATCCAAATAAATCAATTGGTCTTTCCAGTTCCCACCGAGTAGCCACGGTTCTTGTGTGAAAGATAAGTCTTAAAAGTCTCAGACCTTTGCTCGGTGTCGGTGTTCTTCCTTCAACTTCTCTTGCTGTCCCTGAGCCTCCTTTGAGCTACAACGGACAAAGACAGAAAAACTGTATTCAAGACATGCACAAGACAAAATAAAAACAATCACACAGCAAGTTACTTTTAAAATAAGCCAAACTTAAAGGCACTTTAATTGTCACAAATACATTCTTTTTGTAACCTTTGAAACCTCAATAGTAGCCAGAGATCTACTCTGGAAGACAAACAATAACATGATAGTTGATGTAAGAAAAGCAGCAGGTGAAATGTTCAAGCACAATTGACTAGGATAGAATTGTCAGGCACAAGAATTAATCCTCACATTGACTAAATGCTGTAGTATTTTAAGGATACCAGAGCTAATCTCACCTCTTCTCCATTACTTCTTGCAAATCCTGGAATTCCTGATGCTGCTTTAGCTCCTTCAGTTCATCAAAGCGCTTCAGCTGTTCACTCGCCAGGTCATACACTGCCCTCACCATCTGCTCCTGCTGCTCCTGCCGCTGCCTTAGCCCCTCCTGCAGATTGCAGAGGTGCCAGAAACACCACAACGTAGCAGTCACCGGAATTTGGACAGAAGAAAATACAAATGACATTGACCAAAGTGGGCCAACGTTTAGGATAACTTACTGTCCTGCTACTTTTACCAGGGCATTGCTACGTCTGGTTATGTAGCTCTCCTCCAATTCACATACATCCTCCAACATTTTTTCTTTTTTTACCTTTCCTTTCAACCTGTGCATCTCTTCGTACATCCGAATGCAGCCTTCGACTTCTGTAACTTTAGATGGCAGAACCGCTGAAAAGAGTTCTTGGTCCATTTCCAGCAGACTAAGATCTTCATTTCCCTGCGTGGTCAGCATATAAGCAAAATCAGGAACTGAAAGGAGCAACTCATGGAGGAAACCAGGTAGAACAAGTCTCCTAAACTGCACATTATTTGTAGAGAAACAGATAAAGGAGTCAACCAATGCACAACTTTTAGAGTAGTTATATACCCCAGTAGTGGGGCCTCACCATTTTGAATATCCTCCAGCACCTCTGTGAGGTTGGGATAATTACTTTTCCCAATTACTAAAATTGGCAGCAGAGATACCAAGAACCTATAGGACATTCACAAAGGCCAGCTGTCACCTAGAAAGGCTGGACAGGCTCCCCACGTTCTCCTAACACTCAGTGAAGATGTTACACTGGAATAAGCCAAGACAGGTTTATGCTTTGAATCGTTCTTCAGGAGGAGTCTTCAGAGTCTCTCTTACAACTTTTATCAGATCTTGCTGCTTCATTAAGATCTTTAACTCACAATATATTTCTTAAGTCTAAATGGAGCCAAGGTGATGCAAAACTTTGCTGCTCAGTATCATTGCTTGGATTGGATATGAGGAAAAATTTTTACACTGAAGGGGTTATTAAGCATTGGAATGGGCTGCCCTGGAGGTATTTAAAAGACAGGTTGACATAGTGCTTAGTGACATGGTTTAGTGATGTTTTTTTATCAGAGTTAGGTTGATGGTTGGACTAGATGATCTTAAAGGTCCCTTCCAACCTAGACAATGCTATGATTCTATGATTGTTAGGTGGTGAAGTCATAATTTAATGCATAGCAACGGACATCTGTTTTCAGTTTAGGTGCTTCATCAACTTCATTACCTCCATAACTCAACTTCCTACTCTTTCGCCTTGTAGGAGAGAGCCGTAGCACATCTAATTCATTCAAAGGCTCCAGAGAATCCAAGGGGGTACCCACAGACCCCTGCAACAGGCCTGATCCTACTCTGTGACCTTCCCTCCGCATGGATGAATCCATATGGCTAATCTATATAATCACACAGCTCCAACTAAATTTTCCTTAATTATGGTGAAAAAAGGAGTTTGCTTTTACCCTACTATAAAACACTATAAAAGCCTTGTTAATACCAATTTTATCATCACCCATTTATCCTAAAAAGTTGAAACTAAGCATGTTTTTCCCCCACAAATTAACGAAGCGCAAACCAACCTTTACCAGACAATTTCTGGCTGTGAGTTCACATGTTTTTTTCTCACAGCTGCTCACACAGGGGTTATAACCAGAGACCTACCTTGGTTTCACTTGGGTCTGTAGACAGAAGTGGTGAAGAGCCCCGGCAGCTCGCAGACGTGATCTTCTCCAGAGACGGTGACTGGTTTGTGAGAGGAGGGGATTCTTTAGGCGTTGAACTCCTGGAGGGGAGAGCTTCTGGGGCCGATCGCCCAACCACTCTGTCCAGGACCCAGCCGGAATACGGTGACAGCACCAGAGGAGACATGCATCCTTCCAAGATATCCTAGAGAGAACACATTTTCCATGAAGGCAAAACGCATCAAGAAATCGATGAAACATAACACATATTTAAAAAAAAAATCGGGTAGGTCAGCAGGTGCTTTATAACCGCAGATCAGAAGTGCACTGATGCCTTTCTTTCGCTGTTTTTTCAACACCTTTTCAAGGCTCCCTTTCTTTTGTAAGACAGCCACGCTTGAACCTTCTCCTGTCACACCTCCTCCTCCTCCTCCTCCTCCTCCCCAGGCCCCGCACCATTCAGCCAGTGTGGAGCAGAGGGGCCCGGCTGCTGACAGGCGAGGAGGAGCGGGGAGCAGAGCCACCACAAAAAACACTGATGTATTTTAAGCCCTGTTAACGAGACAAGGAGCCGAAACCACCGGGCCAGCACCGGAGGGACGACTCGCGGTTTCCCCCCTCAGCCGCCCACAGGGCGCGCAGACCCGCTGTGAGGAGCAAAGCGGGAGCCGCCGCGGCTCCCCAACCGCCCGCCGGGAGCGAGCCCTCACCTCATCCCGCAGCCAGTGGCGGCAGTAGCTCAGCCGGCCCTTGCTGGAGGTGCGCAGAGCCTCCAGAGTCTCCCAGCGCAGCTCCCGCGGCTCCATGGCGGCGCCCGCTCCCGGCACTGAGCTCACCCCGCTCCGCACTTCCGTTTCCAGGGCGCCTGCGGCAGCGGCTTCCCGCCCTGTGCCGAGGGGGCTGCCCCCTGGCGGGAGGGCGGAGCCCCGCCCCGCCCCGCCTCAGGGACGCGAGTTCGAGTCCCGCCGCAGGCGGCTCCGGTGGACAAACGGGCCCGTTTCACCGCTTTTCTCTTTATTTTGTGTATTCTCGCGGAGGAGAGAGAGTGCTATAGTACTTATCCCGGTTTGCAGAGGCAGGGAGAGGCCACTGACCACAGAAGAGGGTGAGGAGCACAGCCCAGGATGTGTTTGGTTTTCCAAAGTAAGGCCCACAGACCAGTCCTGGTTTCAGCTGGAATAGAGTTAATTGTCTTCCTAAGAGCTGCTGTGCTTTTAGATTTAGTACAAGAATAATGTTGATAACACATATAGTGTGAGTTGTTGCTAATTAACACATTAAATCAAAGACTCCCCTGTCCCCCTGGGAGTGGCGGGGGGTTGTGTGTGAACTGCTTAGGGTTAAACCACAACAAGACCCTAGACACAGCACACAGAAGAGGAAATTCCCAACACGACCAATTAAAACACCATTTATTGTTTGTTTTACCATAGCACCTTTAGGACTTTTAAAGTGTTAAACACACAAACACAATCACAAAACTCTCAAAAACCAATTAACTTAGAAAAACCTTTATGACAAATACTGCCCAGTGACCACATCGCACATAAATAGGATATAAAAGAGATAAAAAGAGTATTTATTTTTGCCCCTGTAAGAACCATTTACCAGAAAGTTTTAGGGACTCAGCACAACGAAGACCTGATTTTCCAGGAAAAGGTGCAGGCTGGTTGGACGAAGAAGTTGAGTATCTGTAGCTGCTCTTTAATTGGCTTAAGACTAAGTCAGTATTTCATGCACACCCTGAACTCACGTGGCATTCACAGCAAGACCCCAACTGAAGTGCTACTGAGGTTAAACCGCAATCTTTCCTTTGAATTCAGATGGTTTTGGCTCAGTCCTGGGCATATTCAGGATGAGGAAAGCAGGACGAGAAGAGTAAAGCAACATTAGCATCACACTCGGAAACAAAGGTGAGGATTAGAGAGCATACAAGAATCAAGTTAAATTAAAAAAAAACAAAATCATTATTTCTGGTATAAAACTGTTTATAAACACTGTGGTTGTTCAGGAGATAATCTCTTCTAAGTGTAGAGTCCAGGCACTTAAGCTATTTTCAGCTTCACACAGCTGGTGGGTGAACCCTCTCCCACCACCATCTTACTGTTCAATGTATCAATACAATGTTCAATAGTTTAAAAAAATGTAAAAAACTCCCACAAACAAGAAGCCCCACATGATCTCCCCAACACAGAAACAGAGTGAAAAAAAGAAGCATGAAAAGGAAAAGAGCTCTTATAAACATGAACATGCTCAACAAACCCCTGACAAGGGTTAAGAGCTGAAAACATCGGGACCTTACAGAATGAAAAGGACCTTTTCTGTCATATGCAAAACCACCTGGTTTTGGGGCACAGTTTAACGCCAACCTCCAACACCAAACCAGTATTGCCAAGACCCTACACTGAAGACAGACACCACCACCGTGTTATTGTCTCACACTGCAAGAAAAAGAGGAAAACTCCTCATAGTGACCCTGAAATGCCAACCTGCTCTCCAAACACTGTATGGCTTTGAAATAGGGCTCTTTCTGTGCTTAGAAGCTGAGGTGCAGAGAGAGGGCTGTCCTCATGGAGAAGAACGAGAGCGGCTCGGGGAGCCCAGCAAGGCACTTTCTCCAAAAACGTTGGCATAGGAAGACTTGAGGAACTGGACGTAGTTTTGCATGCTGCGGTTGGTGCTCTCCGACTGCTCCAACCGATCCTTTAAATCCTGTAGGCGGCTTTCGTACCGGCGCTCTGCCTGCGCAAAGAAGCACAAATCAACAGGCTGAAAGACAGCAACATTCACCCTGTTCACAGTAAAAGCTGCTCCCGAAACGTGCTGAGGACGGCAAGAATTAGCACAGCAGTAGATGACATTACCCTAGATGGTGCTGTGATATTTATAATTTGTTCTGCTCATTTCCAACTCCATTCAGCAACCCGCTGATAAAAACAGGAGACGACACGGCTAATCAGCGTCAGGCTTTTAAAACTGATTAGCTGTAGTTATGGGGAATTAAACACATTCTTTTCTGAAAAGCAGCTTGACCTGATCCATGTGCCAACCCGATTCCAAGTAAAACTCAAGTAAACAAGCAGGGCAAACAGGATATCAGGAAAAGATTTCCCTTCTTTCTTCTAGAACAAACCCTTTCCTCTAGAAGAGACATTGCATTCTCCCCCAGAAAAACAAGCACAGTAAATGAAGCTGAAATCTGTCCGTGACATCTGGTGCAAATCTGAATGTAAGAAAGGTCTGGTTCTTTTCTTAGACGCGTAAGTTTAGAACAAGTTCATTCCAATCATTGCTGTAAGTAATAAGCAAAGGAGAGCCTGCATTCTGGAATTAGTGACATAACTGGCGTGTCATATCACACATCTCTCATGGACACACATCACAACACTTCATGTTCAGACACAGCTGAGGACGACTTTCACTGCAATCTGTGAGACCTTGACACCACCAGCAGAGCAAGAGTGTCCCTTGCAACTCACTCACATCCTCTTTGCTCCGGCGCAGCTGGTTCAGCTCTGTTTTATTCCTGCTCAGCTGGGTCTCCAAATCCAACATCTTGGACTGGGCTATTCTCTCTCTAGACGCTGCTCGTTCTCGAGTCTGTTCCACCTACATGTGACAACAGAACAACAACTTTGTTAAAGGGTGTCTACCAAAGAATGATTTTTCCCTACCCCACTGCCCACAAAAGCCCTGTAAAGTTTAATTGGATGCATTCTCATACAGAAGTAATAGCTCAGTTTTGTGCTTTCCTCTCTTCTGTTGCAAGCTGGAGCACTGGGTTCAGTTTTTCAATGGTTTAAGTACATTTTATTATCTGTATTTCACTGCACAGGATGATTTTCATTAATTTGGTCATAGGCTGAGGAGGTATTTCCAGCATTCTCGCTGTTCCCTTTTTACAGTCTGGGTAGTTTTGGGAAAATTCACACACACACACAAAATGACTTACTTGTCTTTTGGCATCCTCAATGGCCATCTCCAGCTGACGTGCCAAAGAGCTGCACTCGCGGGTCTTCTCCTCTAACCGCAGCTGACACTGGTGGATCGACTCCTCGCGTTTTGCTATGACCTGAAGGAATTCTATGTTCTGGGCACTCGTTGTCTCTAGTTTTCTAGGTTAAGACAATACAGGAAGGAGACACCTATTCATTTTAAATGGAGTGTGTTTCAGTCTGCCTTTTTGTCAGGTCCTGACTCGGCTAGGAATAAATTCTATTCCCCCTTGAAAGGCGAGAGCCTCAAGAAACACCTCTCCATTTCTCAAATCAGAATTTTAAAGGCTGAAGGACACACAGAGTATTCACATACCCACATTTTACCAGACATTGTCACTAAAAGGAATTTATAAACATGACTAAAACCACTGTAATATTCAGTAACCTCAAAACTGTCAGGCTAGATTGGGCCAGGAGCTGGTTTACGTGCTGTGTAAGTCATCATCCTTTCTAACAACATTCATAAAAGGTGCTGCAAAAAACTGTAACTCTCCAGTGGACAGCTACTGATTACAGATCCTTGTGGGATAAGCAAATGCACAGAATCCTGGAGGCACGTGGGGGACTGGAACAAGACTGAAGCTGTTTCAATCCCCTGAAAAAACAACAGGAAGAGGATGAAGTAGAAGGTTAAAAGAGCAAGAAAGCCTCATATTTCTGACCTTTCTAGTTCCTCCACCTTCAAGGTGAGCTGCTTTTTCTCCTCCTGGGCAGACTGATACCTCTCTCTTGTTATCTCCATTTTGTCCCCCTGGAGCTCAATCTAAAAATTACAGTAAGTAGTTACTTTACAGAGTAGTCAATACACGCACACAACCAACCAATTAAACGTATGCAGCTCTCCAGAAGGAAACAACACACACAACCAACCACTTAAACGTATGCAGCTCTCCAGAAGGAAACATGCTCAATTCGTAACTCCCAGAGAGCCTCAGAAAAGGAAGAGTGGACAGAAAAGCAAAGCACTAAACATCCACTTCTGCCGGTGCTTGTAGTTAACGTTTGGAAAGGTCTGAGAAAATTCTTCCATACTGCAAATGAAAAGCGAGGTCCGTAAGCAGTTGTATGCAGAGCAGACACCTGCAAGCACAGCAAAGAACATACATTAAAAGCAGCCATATAGATGACAGCAGCCCCCAAAGGCATTAGAGTCAAGAAGGTTTATAATTCCAAGCTGATGAAAGAAAAGCAGTCAAATTGCCGAGATCATTTGCTGTGTGTCTTGAGGGGTGGCTGTAGAAGTCATGCCTGTCTATAATTACCCTGCGATACCTACGCAGCCCTTCTGGGACAAAAAAACAGGAACTGGGAAAACAACCTGAAATCAGGGTGAGAAAACAAGGTGGAGACAGCACTATTAGGAGAAAACCACAGGAGGGAAAGCTGACAAGACGATGGAAGTAACAGAAGCGAGTGTTGGCATTAGCAAGTGCTGTCCCTGCTGCTACTCAAGTCCCAGTAAGGTTCTGTGTCAAGGGATGAGAAACCTTTCAAACAGTAAGGGATGTACCAGCTACGCTGCTAACTTCTCACACAAAGACATAGGACACACCTTTATTTTGCAGTGCACGTTTAATCTTTTCAAAAAAGAGCAGAGATGAAGTTTGAACCTTCCTGTGATTAGAAATTCATCTTGGTGTCAGACTTGTGGATTGCAGCGCTGGAGGTATTTTCTGCCAGTCCCTTACCCGCTGACGAAGATCTGCAATCATGACAGAGAGGTCCATGTTCTTCTTCTCGTAACTCTGAAGCTGGTCCTGACATTCTGCTAGCTGTGTCTCTGTGAGCTTTAGGATCTCGGGCAGCTTTTCCAGTTCAGCAAGCTGGCTCTGGAACTGCTTACGCGCCTAGAGTCAAAGAAGAGAAGATGAGGAATTTTCAAATGTTCATAAGGTCAAGACTAAAAAAATTCTCTACTTCAATGAAGCTTTGTTAGTCTGCAACCATGATGACACTGTGTGGATATTTGGCTGGAGTTCAAAGCCTAAGGTCTTCTCCTACACCAAAAGGCTTTCTCTTAGGATTTGCCATTCCCTATGGATGGAGTGAAAATGAGTTAGTATTTTGGATCCTGGGTTTCAATTTTAATAGAAATATGAGCTCTTTTTTGAGGAGAACTCTTCCACACCAGACAATGGTGTAAACCACTATTCTAAACCACTATTTCTGCAGCAAAGGACACACTAAACAATTTAAACATTCTGAAGAATGCCAGATAGTAAAAAAGAAAGCTGCTACTCAGATAAGATTTTTATTTCCTATTCACAGCCACTTTTCACTCCATTCAGAACATTAAGATACATGAATATCTACAACATATCAGTCTGTAGAGGAATAGTTACCAGTTCAATCTCCTTGTTCATTTCATCTTTTAGTGTCCTGTTCTCTTTATCATACTCCTCCAGCTTTGCGGCTGCTTCATCTGCTTCCATTTGGGTCTTTGTCACCTGGACATACCAAAAAGCTCATAAGCTTTAGCTATTATATAATGTTTTCAACAAGTGTGGAGTGCTTTGGAGTAACTAAAACTGCTCAAGGATCAGCAACAAGAGCAAACAAAGGGCTAAGGCATTACAGAATAAACCATAACAGAGAAGGGAGAAAATATGTTTGTGCAAGGGTTGAAGGTTTTGATAAAATGTCTACCTGTGACTTGTAGCTTTCAATCATCTCTTCATAGCTCTTGACAGAGCTCCTGAGCTGCTGCACTTCCATCTGTGCTTGGTTCAGCTTCTCCTCCATTGGGATCACACTAGCCTGAAAAATGAAAACATCTTCCCTTGAGCACTTGGAAGTAACTGCCACACCAGCTGTCTAACATTGTCTAGATTAAGAAAAAAAGACTTTTGCCATTGTAAGTCGGCAAAACTTTCCAGACTTCAGTGAATTGCCACTTTATTGCCACAAATTTACACCAGCAGAGCAGAGAGGTTTGGGATAGATGTGTAACCTTTCCATTTGCCTGAGTGGACTGTGCTACTTGGATTACGGTCACTCCTTATTTGGATCAATGCCTAACTTTCCAAGAAGAAAATTATGTAGGTCACCTACAAGATCACCAGTGATAAGAGAGATGACAGAAGAAATAGGGCACTTGTTTCTTTTTAATTTATTCTGGATTACCATTCTTTCTGCACAAGTTAGGTGTAAATTCTGTGGCCAGCAGCGTGAAGATATAACAAGAAGACATAAGATCCCAGCTTGAAGAAACAGCATTTGTATTGGAGAAACTCCTAGCCAAAACACGGAAAAAACCCAGTCCTCCCAGAACATTCACTTACTTTCTTTTTGTTTCTCCCCAGTATATTTGCCTGATCATACTCAGGTCATGGTAAAACTGGTTTTAAACTAAACAGCAGCAATGGTTGCAATTCAACTCTGTCCTCAGAGGCCAAGCAGCTTGTTTAATTTCTCCTTGTTTTCCCTAGCACTTCAGCTTCAAAGCCCTAGAATCACTGACCTTCAGCCTTTCATTCTCCATTTTGAAAGACGTGTTCTCTGTAGTCTGTCGTTGCAATCTCTCCACCAAGGCTTCTCTGTCCTCCCGCGTCCTGTCCTCCAGGGTTGCCTGCTGTTCCAGCAAGTCTGCAACACGGCTGCCATACAGAAACAAAATTAATCCTTAAGTGACAAGAAAGAATAAGGCTCCTAACACACTTGAAAACTAGCTTCAGTTGGCTAGTTTTCATGGCTTTTCCCCATCCTTTTATCTTCCTCCTCCAGTCTTGTGTGCACACCTATCTGTTACACTGTTCTGCTACCTCAATCTTCTTAGCCTGCTGGAAATTAACTTGAGTTGTCCCCTTGGAGCTCAAACACATTGCCTCCAAGATACACAGGATAAAAAGCTACCTCTCTTTTGTCTTATACCTACGTATTTTTTCCTGCAGCAACAACTGGACTGCAGTGATACCAGCACATTTATTTACCTTCACAACAAAATTGTCATGAACTATACTGCCTACCTCCTCTAATCCCTTCCATTCACGTTTCTCAAACAGATTTCAAAAGAAGAATAACCTTAATTATTTCAAAGCATTACAAAATGGCAAAGGAATAGAGTCTTAAGGGTCAGCAAACACTAAAAAAGCATGTCTTTGCTACAGCAAGTCAGCAGCAGAAGCCATCTCTCTCCCTCTCTTGATCTCTCCAAACTGTGCTCTAGCCCTTAGGCCGTGCTGGTTTTGTTTGGATATTTACAGGCAATCCAATTAAACTATTTAAATTAATGCAATTATTAAATTGAATTAAATTATCTTTGAACTTAGAACTAATCCCCACTCATGCCAGTTTCTCCACACTAAGTTTATTTTAACCTGTTCAACGTAACAATTTCCAGTTCGAGGTCAGTCTTGTCCTTTACTACTTTGTTGCAGCGATTCCTCCAGGACTCCAGAGTGGACATGGCATCAGCAACGTAAGTGTCCTATCAAACAAGAGGAATACATGAGGAAAAGTCACAAAAAAAGTCTCTGGATATGGGATATGCAGACAATACACAGAGATGCTGATATGGGTAAGCATGATATGCGCAGAGACTTCACTAAGACTTTTAAAATACTGAGGACAAGTATTTATTTTTATTCTTCCTGCTCCTTCAAAGAGGGGTTCTCCAACACTACTGTCAGCCAACAGACATAACAACAGTGAAAGAGGAACCAATCTTCTTTTGAAGGCAGATGAACTATCAGAAATACAAAGCATGGCTAAGATTCTACTAGTGGCTCCTGCCCCTGGAATTCTAGAAAAAAGGGAGAAAACAAAAGTTCCATTCTGATTTGTTTTAGTCCTACCTTTTCTACTTTTTCTTGATACCCTTCAGTCATTTACCAACAGGAAATTCCAGTACACCTCTAAATCTTTGTACTTTTCTGCTCTGACCAGTTTCTTGATTAACAAACAACTCTATTCAGCATTGTCAGCCAAAACCACAAGGCTTTATTTTATTGGCTTTTGTCAACCCTCAGATGGTTCTGAAGAGCCAGGTGAAAATCAGATCTGCTAGTTTAGAATGATCTAAGTTACTGCATGTCCTAAGTTAAGGACATGCAGCGAATATAGTGACAGCTCAGAAAACTGGATTTGTTCTAAACTTAGCATAAATGGGCCAAAGCGTCAAGACAGAAATAAATCTCATTAGTTGAAAGCAGAGACTCTCCCCAGGGCTGCTCCCAGAAGTCAAAAATCTGGATGCATGACCTGAAATGAGGTCTCTCCTCCTGTATTCTCAGGTACCTTTTCTGCTAGCTGGACAGTCAATTGCTCTGCGTAGGCCTCACTTCGCTCTGCCCGCTCTTTCTGCGCACGCATGGCTTTCTTCAGGGCCTCTTTATCACGCTCTGCCTTCTGCTTCAGTTCTTTCATCTGTTCCATGGCCTCTTCCATCTCTGCCTTGTGCTGAGCTTCACCGCGCTCCAGATTCTGCAGTGGGACGGGGGGAAACAAACACACATATGGAATAATGCCCTTAAACCTGCATCCCCAAATCAGCGACTCATTTCCTACAAACAGTTGAGAGAGCTGGACATAAACCCCCAAACTTCAGCCTGGAGCTACTCGCATTTCACCTCCACAATCCTGTCCTAATGCTGACAGACACGTTAACACGACGTCTTCTTTTCTTTCCAGGAATCCTTTCTTCTTTCATAAGCTGCTCTGTAGAATAGTGATTTCCCCAGCTCTACTACCCTTTTGATCTACTCGAGAACATTCTCTTTATTAATTGAAATGCTCGCATATAATAATGTTGCTTTATACAGCGATATAGTTTAACAGAATTAAAGCTCTTCTAAACCATTATCACATACACGTTCACCATAACCATCACATCATCAACAGATACGTTAAACATAAGAGTTTCATCAAGATAAACCAGAGGAAATTTCCCTCATTAATACTGTAGAAAGCATGCGTGAGTGTGACCAAACACAGGAACCCGTGGCACCATGCTTTTTCCAGAAAGCAAATTAAATAGTTTATGATCTGTCTTGATGATTGACAAAACCAAAGCCATCTTTTAAATAATTATGTAGTAATTAACTTTAAAAAAAATTAAATCTAATAAATGCACCTAGATCTCAAGGCTACGATTTTGCCTCATGCATCAAAACTGAAACGCTTTTCCTTTTCTTACTTCATCGGTGTGAATTAATGGCATAAACATCCCCAGGAAGCATTCCAGTCTACCAGACACAGGAGAATAGTTGGTGGGTGCTATTTCCCCTGTCAGCCAATTCCATTCATGACAGTAAACCAAGAGACCGTGCCCTGGGACCACTGAAAACGTACCCGTATCTGTACAGTCAGGCGGTTGTTCTCAGCCTCTTTGTTCCGCAGCTGCGCTTGTAAACGGCCTCTCACGGCCTCCATAGATTTGGAGAGTTCACATGCTGTCTTTGCCTGGTCCTAAATAAGAAGCACCAAGATACACACCTTTTTCCTCAACAGGCTAACAGAAGGAATACTTTATAATATGTTAACAGTCTCAGATTTCTCCACTGAATGATCTCCAGCCACCTCCAGTTTCCTCAGATGGACCCTCACAGCTCCCCACAAAATGGGGAACAAATGAGTAGCCATTTATTTTACATCAGATGTGAATGACTGGCCTGGAAGATTTGTTCTAGGGCAAAGCACCCTTCATATCTGGGCTCTTCCACTACATTCTCCTTCTACTTGCTACACAGAGGAACAGACTGGAATGTGACATCAGGAACCATCAGGATCTTCAACAGAAAGGTAATTTAGTGATAAGCCCAAGTGAAAGAGAATGCTACCTAATCAACCTTGTGATGGATGTCTAGTTTTATAAGCAAGCCAGTCATCTGATCCTTTAAAAAGTACTTGTCTGCAAATACAACCCCATATTTTGGGCAATCTGTGTTTCTACAGAACTGGAAGGTGGAGGCAGGGAGGGGAAAGCAGAAAAAGGAAACTACCTTTTCTGTCTGTATCTGAATGTTGAGACTGTCCACTTCTTCTTCTTTCTCCTGAAGCCTCAGCTGAAGTTCCTGGAAAACAAACACCACTCAGATTTTAAGTAACAAATACGTTTAGGTTGGCAGGTGGCGGGAAAGAGGTTTAACTGCCTGCCTCCTGAGACCCTCCCATCCATGGCACGCTCTGGTATCCACAGCGACAGCATCCTCAGCCCCAGAAAAAACAACCTGCATCCTCCTCCAGCAGAAAGCAAAACGGCTACACGAACATTTGTGTGGCAGGGCACAGGATACCCAGTCAAGAACAAGGACTTGGCAGGACTCCACAGACAAAAAGGGGCATTTCCTATGTCTCAAAGCAAATTTTATAATTTCTATCAATGTATGAACTCCTTTCTCAGTTTACAGATAAGGAAATGAACAACGACTGGCACCACGTCACTCACTCATTTGCTGACAGAAGCGAATCTTCTTAGTGCTCTTCTATCTTTAAGGATAACATGATAAACATACAGAAAAAATAAGATGATTTCCAAACTGAAGAATTCTATCCTGACTGTCAGGAGTATTTTGATGGTAGATTTTTTTTCTTCTCTCCCACCCACAGAGTTTTCTTTTTAAAGAAAAAATGTAGTACATTTCTTGCTTTGTACATTCAGTACCATAAGAAAAAAATAAGCAGAATAATTTGTGCTTGAATTGAACAACATAATGAGAACAAGCTCAAGTTCTCCTTTGCAGCTGAAACTGTAAATCCTAAAGGTGATCTTATATGTAGGTCTCAGTTGTGCTATCCCTATTCTAAGCCTCTGTATTTCAAAGGCTGTGAAAATCTATCCACTTCAAAATATAGTTTTTTAACCAGAGGGGCAATGTAGTGGCTCTGATTACCACAAAAGCCAAAATATTTTTAATTGGTCTAAAAGACAGTATAAGACTTGATAGCTAAATACAAGACAAAGAAGAGCTTCTAATTTCAGATATCTCTGCTTTATCAGAGAAAGAAAGAGAGGTATATTTTGGTTTGCTTACCATTTTCTCTGCATCTGAGTCAGCCAGCCTTTTCAGCAGAAGTCCTTGACGCTCCAATATCTTCTGAGCACCCTTCTACAAAAGAAATGAATGAGAAAAATGGTTAACTGAAAAGTCAATTTTATACAGATTCTTTAGACGGAACTGGGCAAATCAACCATTTCCCCCCAGTTGCAGCAGCAATTCTCAGAAGATACCCAGAAGCATCAAGATTGCTAAACATTTCCTGTATCATCACCCATCTCAGAAAGCTTTTCCACTTCTCAGTCAAAGATTACAACAAAAAGCACAATGCGATTTAAGGTCTTTCAGAGCTCTCTCACTACTCAGTGACAGTCAGGTGGAAGAACTCAGTCCCTTTACCCAGTCTCACTAGTGGCTGAAATAACCATTAGCATTGGCCTGTGTTTGCTGAAATGAAACATAAACTACAGGAAGAATAGCAACTTCCTTTCTGTATTGCTCTGACAAGCAATATAGGATTGTTCTGCACAAACAGTACAGAATTGCTTACAATTTCTCTGTTATTGCTCTTGCAGACTACAAAAATAAAGTTGTGAACATCCTTAGGCCCTCACCAGCCGAGGCCATATCTAGTCCCCAGACTTCAGCCAACGCAGCTGTAGCAGTAAAATTTCAGAGGAACACGATCAGCAGACACAGCTGCATCCAGGTGAGAAAGGGCTGGCAAAACAGGAGTACCTATTCATTGTAATGCAAAGACCTAGATGCTCTAACAGCCCCACAGCAGAAAAGTCAATCTTACTCTACTGATGGAGGCAGGGACAAACAAAACTATCTATCCCTTACGACACAAGGTCAACAGTAGGGTTGGAGAAAAGGAAAAAAAGAAGATTTAAAAGCTCTCCAAATTCTGTTTCAGTTCATAAGACAATATAGCCCCCTGTAATCACCCAAGGCCAAGCACACAGCACTGCTCACCTCCCGGTTGTGCTGCTCTCTGAGAAGTTCTCGCAGTGTCTGGTTGGTTTCTTCGAAGGTGCTCAATTTCTGGAGAAGCAGCTCTTTTTGCCTTGTCAGTGAGTTAATGTCTGAGCTGCTCATGTGTTTCTCCTAGGAGGAAAACCACCAAAAAAAAAAAAGAGGACTGTTCACATGGAATGAACGTGTGAAGCCCATACAAGTATGAGCAGCGCAATAGCCAGCATCACGTGCACAGAAGGTGACTGGAAGCTGCAAGTAAACCCCCCACTTCCAAACAAAACTAGCAAACACCTTAAGCATGCTAAATCCCTCCAGTTTTCCTCACGTTCTTCTGGATCAGCAACTGTAACATTACATTAAGACAGCCATATAACAGGACAATGTAGTAAAGGCAAGAATAAAAAAGGACAACACCTACAATGTTGAGTCTCCCAATTGTATTTTTCAAGCTATGGATCTGCCTGGCTGCTGCTGCTCCATCCCGTTCTGCCTCACTCAGCTTGGACATCAAACACTCTTTCTCATGCTGCAAGTAGTTTTTCTGCAGCCTGTAATGAGAAGTCAGCCATCAGAGAAACGAGAAGCTTTGACAGCTGTACCAGCCACTCTTGATTACAGTCGATTGGGGTAAAACTGACAAAAAACCATCAAATCAGAGGATAAAAGCTCCAAACAAACACTACTTAAGATTTACCCTCTTTCAGCATGGAAGTTGTTCTGATGGAAGACAGTAAGCAGACACCAGGAGCTCACTAGGCCCACAGATATGAAACAGGAATTTTCACAGAGAGGATAAATTGGGCTTATCCCAAAGCCTGCACACAAGCCTAAACCTAAAACACAATGCTGTGCTTTCCCTGGGTGCTGAAGCCACACCAGAAATAAAGCTCCAAATGGCTGAACATAAAACAGGAAAGCACACCAAGATACACAGCTCAAAGTTTTTAGCCAGAGCTCGCAATTCACAAAGTTTTCAGAAAAGGAATATACACAGTATTAACTTCCAAGTGATCTTTCTAAAGGAAAAAATAAAACTAACTCTCTGAAAACACTAGTGTCCCCCCGAATACACAAACTTCCCAAATTCTTTAGATACAAAGCAGATGCAAAAATGTCAGACTGGAAGACCTTCAGGGTCACTAAGAAAAAAAACCCATGATTCAGTCCTCTCGGGGGCAGCCGCTCCTGTCTCAGTATGATTTTCACAAAGGCCAAAAATTCTCCTCTAGTTTTCAGCTCCATGATTATTCTTTTGGTGTTGTACCAATATCATCACAATTCAAACAGCATCTCTTAAGCTTGAAAATATCAATTGCAGAGCTAGGATGACCCTCCAGTAGGTCACACAAGCCAACTGCTCTTAGCTTCTCTCAGACTAGTTTTTTCCATTCCAATAAAGATGCTGGGGCCCTTCTCTGAAGTCCCCCTTCTAAAAGGTGACCCCAAAAAATCCAAGAACATCACTTCTTCAGCACCACTGCAACCCAGGGGACAAACTGCAACCTCAAATAATGTTAACAATAAGGGAGGTAGGTGCCCTGTAAATAGCATTGCTTGCAGTAGCAATGGAGAACTGGAGCTTTCTTACACAGTCAGATCTTTCTCTTCCTTTATGCGCTCAATATCGCGCCTGAGCAGGGAATTCTCATGTTCTGTTTCTACCAGCTCTTGTGTGACCTCGTTCAGCTCTTCTTTCTGCTCCTCAAGGAGACGCTTTGTCATTTTTTGCTGTTCCTCCTGTTTCTGCAGCTTGGCCTGATGAAGATATTGAAATAGAACTTAAGACAAACCAGGTGCTTTTAAAGCGATACCCAGAATCCACATCTCACAGCAGTGAACCAGCTCTTCAGCGGCACCAAACAACAAAGGACTGTGCTTTTTTTAAAGACAGTGAGTCTTTACACCGTGTCCTCACCTCATTCTTCAGTGTTCCCACCATATTTGCCAGTCTATCGATCTTCTTCGCGTATTGGTTCATTTTGCAGCAAGTAGCACCCACCTCATCTGTACAGAGGTCACACAAGCGCAATACTGACATCTTTTGTTCTGAGTCTGGAGGTGTGGTGTCCAGGCGGTGAGTTGGTCCCTGGTAGAAAAGCAAGAAAGAGCATCAGCTTTTTTAGCATTAATGTTAGAAACACTATTCTAACCCTAGCTCTGCCAAAACCAGAGACCAGGATCACATCACTGCAACAAGGCTAGTAAGGAAAAAAAAAACCCACACATTTATAAACAGCTCTTTCATTTCCATCAGGGAAACGTCAAGTCTCCAGAAAGACTAGAACAGAAAAAGAAGAAAAAAAAAAAAACAACAACTCAAGTTCAAATTCTCATCTAGGAAGAGCCAGGAACATAAAAGGCAAGACTATCAACCTGTGAGAAAGAAAATATTACACAATACTACACAAATGTTCCATGCTTCAGAAGAGACCAAGAACAGCAGCACCTCGCTGTGCCTCCAGATGAGATCTTGAAGTGGACAAGTAAAATGACAATAAACAAAGAAGTGTGTCTGGCTTCCAGAGACAGAAAGGCATGATACGGCCAGAAGCTGCTAATTATTTTCCAATTTTTATATATTGAAAAGTGAAAGAGATTTACGGAATACACTTAAAATGGATGGTAGGTGACAGAGTAGCCTTCTTTCAGATCAGCCCAGTTCCCTCACTACACAACTGCTCTCTTCGACCTCGGATAAACCCGAAAGTTTGTTTTAAAGCACAAAATCAGCCATACCTCCAATCTGCAGGTGGACTCCCGGACAGACATTTTGCCAGGGGGCATCCAGGGGGCCTTAGTTTTCACACGGACAGATCGGCACATGTTGACAGTATCCCCTTTAATTTTCTGCTTGTGCTTTTGCTAGAGAAAGAGAAAATAAAATAAATCACAGACTTCTAAAGAACTACTTACAATTTTTAGTGCTGCAAAACCAAATGAAAGTCCATTCATACAAAAATACCACATAGTTTTTCACACGATACATCCGATCAGATGAGCCAGCAGCCATCAGAGGAGGCTGACACCAGCCAGAAGGAAAGGTAATTGCACATTCTGTTGACAGTATGGCTGGATGTAGTAAATTCTTCTTGTTTATCGTGTAGCAGCTGTGTTCTATCACTGGGATACCTGCACTTGTGATGAGAGCCTTACCCAGCAGGGCGGGGTGGGAGATTGGGATGGTGGGGAAAGAAGTCTTCTCAGTATGGAGACACCCCAAAAAAACCCCGCAATACAACCCATTCATGTGAAGAAGGAAAAACCTGGGAGATTCCTTCTCCATCCCAATTCACCTCACAAAAGAGCAGCTCCATCATCTGACAACAGCACTACCAGAGAAAAAAAGAACAGTGCACTGTGGTTGGTTATGAAAAGTCCCTGAAGGGTTTTCCCTGCTTTGCAGTCAACCAATAGATCTGCATTTATTTGTATTGAACTCAGGTGCTTTAACTGAAGCACAATTCTAACCTTAGAGAAAAATGAGATATTCTAAATATTCCCTACAGGCAATTAATTAACAGGAGGCATTGATTTTACCTATCCCATTTGATATTTGCCATTAGCAACAAACACAAAATTAATAGAGGTCTTAGAACAGGATGTCTGCACACGAGGAAGAACGAGCTAGCAACTTCCATCATCTTTTGAGAACAACTTTACATAAACATCCAACTACAAAAGAGGATATGAGATAGCTGGAAACTCAACTTCAGCATTGCCTTCTACCTACTGTGGATAAGGCTATGATGAGATCCTCTTTGCCGCATAGCTCAGCAGACTGAGAAGGTGATTAATGCCAAAAGATGATTTGAATCCGAACTATTTTTTTCTAAACGTGTTTATTTAAATACAATTAAGATGGAATTTGAAATGCCTATTACCTTTCCCCAAACCTTTCTTACAAAACTAGTGATGAAGCCAAAGAAAAACCATTATCAAGACACAAATCCAGGAAATAAAAGGAAAAACAAAATTCCCCCAAACCACATGACACTGGAAGCAACGCTCCTCACAAGCATGTGCTTGAACATGAGAAGTAACTTTCTATATCATGCTTAGATTGTCTTAAACACAGAAGACGTGGTACTGAAAATTCACCACTGAATATGAATTCAAGTCTTACAGTTCTAATGCAACGGTAAAACAGACCTGGAAGATTTTGTGGTGCTTCTAGGACCGTTCACCTTCCTCTTTGTAGCCCTCACAAACACCCAGCTGCACACTCCTACCTGGCATTTTGCAGGTGTGGTTTTCTGACCCTTTTTAATATGGACATGGACAGGGGTGTTTTCATCCACATGGACGTGCAAAGGGGGAGATGAGGAACGGTTCTTCATGACTCTTCTCCCACAAACGGGAAAGGGTAATACAATGAAAGGAAACCTGTGAATAAGGAAACTGGAAATAACAACATTTCCCTCTGTGCCACAGAGCGACAACGGCCAGCCTTGATTAAAGCCTGAGCTTTCTTTCAGTAGCATCTGCCATTTTGAATCGTGCACTATTTTGCCATGAAGTTAGGATTATATACAAGTAATTTCTCTGTTTCTGGTATTTTCTGCTTTTAATATGGTTATTAAAGACCAAAGAGAGTTGGATTGATAGCAGGCACCTGTAAGAGTCATTGGCATTCAAAGACTTAAAGCAAGTGAGCAAATCAAGGGTTCCAGTAACCAGCACAATCTGATTATGAAGAGAAATTCAAAGCTGGGAAAAAAAGCATCAATAGTTTAGCTAAGAAAAATCAACAAGAAACCATCAGATCCTTCCATCCTAGAACGCTAAACTTGTAAACACTCTCATATGTGCTTAACTATAAGCGTCTATTGGAAGTTAAATGAAAGCTTGAAAGCTTCTGGATCGCAGCATTTGTTTATTCTTCAGGGAAAAAAAAAGCATGACCTTAACCACTATCTAACACAACATGGAAAAGCCTAGAGACGCGAGGTCAAAGTCATCACCTTTGAGCCTGATGCTTCAGTTGAGATAATGGTATCATGCAATTGCAAATCTTCCAAAAATCCACCAGCAGCACTACTCTGATTCTGGCAGAAAGGTGGGGTTTTTTGTCAGCTGAGGTAAAATTACTTACAGTTATTCTAAAGCTTTTAGCTCTTCTTGACAGCGTGCTCTGTGCAGAGAGTGAAGTCACTTCATTGCTGATGGATGAGGGACACCTGATAGAGAAATAGTAAAATGAACACTAACAGGAAAAGGTGCCAATTTCTGAACATCCTCTTCTTTTCAATTTAAGACAACATGCGGGCTCAAACACATCAAGTGTATGGACTCAGACAACAAAAGTTGATGTGTCCTGGCTTCCTCTGACAAGCATGGGATGAGGGAAGGACGGAGATTATAATTCCTTACTTATTGATAATTAAAGTTTGTTTAAACCGTAGGAAACGTTTTGCAAATTATATATGATGTCTTTACCCAGTTACAAACCTTCAAATTCTAACTGCAATTTTAACCATTTTCATAAGGAAACAAGGTTTGAACAGTCCCAGGGTACCTGTACATCCCCTCCCAAACCCCACACCCTCCCTAAATTCTGCCATTACCAACAAATTCTGTAAAGCTTGACAGAAATGTTGAGATTCTAATTTTATACAGTTCTGCAGACTGAAGAGGTGCATCCAAATTGGCACTCACACCGAAGGAAACCCAGCACTACCCAGACTCGTGTTGCAGTGGGGTCACTGTGTGTACTGGTCAGCTAACCAGTATCACCCACTGAACTGGGAGTCAGCTACAGCGTGAGCAGCTTCTTGCCTGGTGGTACCTGGGGGACTTGGAAGAAATGAGAGGGAGGGAGGAGGGATCCCCAAAGGACTACTGGGGAGCAATGAAGTACAACTATTCGAGAGGCAGAGAGGCTTAGTTAGCTAATTTTATGGTAACACCCCTTCCTAATTTGCAACATAAGAAGAAGAATCCTGCGATGATACAATACTTCTGCTAATTTAGATCACTCTTTACAGCTCCTTAGTTAATTTGTCAGCTTGCCAAGGTTCGTGTAATAACCTACTCTAAATAAAACAAATAATACTTCACCTGTTTTTAATTAGCATGCGTTTAAGACAACACATAGCTGTATATCATGTCAGATTTATGAAAATTACAGAGGGGAAGACACGGCCGCACACTCCTACATCCCTTGATGAGGAAGGGGAAGCGATAGTTTCCTGAAGGGCCGGGAAACCCCAGCTCCCAGCTCCAAACCAACTCCAAACACCTTTTAATCCTCTCCTTTCCCGGAAAAGCTTCAACTCTCCCCAGGCCCAAGCCTGGGCATCGGCCACAGCACCGACCGAGAACTTCAGAGAGTTCGGGAATCACCACAAGCGAAGCTCGGACGCTGTCACTCACCTTGCCCTAGCAACAAGGTTTATTTCCTTTCAAGTTTTAAGTAACTTCTTCCGCGGCTTTTCAGGGGGCCCGTGGCTACCTCAGGCCGGCAGGGACCTCGCCCGGGACCAGCCTCCCGCTCAACGCAGGCTCAGCCCTCAGGGGTCTCCCCGCTGGAGACCACCCCGAGATAAGAGGCGGCTTCTCCCGGCTGACACGGCGGGGAAGGCGCCGGAGGAATCACTCCGAGGGAGCTCGGACATCCCCGCGGCCACACGGCGAGGGGTCGCCCACCCTCCCCGGCCGGGTCCCCCTCCCCTCACAGGGCCCGGCGCGCCCCGGAACCCTCACCTTGAAGGGCCGCGCAGGGTCCGCTGCCGCCTCAGGAGACCTTCGTCGGCGGCGTGAAGGCGGCGGGAGGCTCCGCCGCCGCCATAGACATCCCGCAGCTGGGCCGAGGGGGGCGGGGGGTGGCCGCACCAGGGGCAGCAGCCTCCGCTGCACTTCCGGGGCCGCCGCCGCGCCGCCGCCCGCGGCTCCCCCATTGGGCGGTTCAAACCTTCCCCGTGACAAGACCCGCCGCCGCCCGCGTCACAGGGCCCCGCCCCGCAACGGGCCCCGTCGCCATAGCAACGCCAAGCGGCCCGGGCCCGCCGCCGCCGCCCTCCTCACCGGGGAGGCCCAGGCCGCGCTCACCGGGGAACCAGCCCCGGCGGGGGGGGGGGCCGGCTGTGAAG